GTTTAAAGAGGAAATTAGGGAGGTGAGAGAAGAGGTGAGAAAGAACAGTTCCCACGTGGCGCCAGTGCAAGTCACAGGCCCTGGCATCAAAGTCCAATGTCCCCCAGCTAGACAGAGGGGGTACACCCAATGAGCTGAGCTGAGGTTCTTCCTTTGTGACCATGGGGAAGACATGAAAAGGTGGGATGGCAAACCCACTTATCTCCTGGCAGCAGGGATGTCAGCTCAAAGACGAAAACACTAACCGAGGGAGTTCGGCTAAAGTGAAGGTAGCCTCAGCCTCCCATGACCGAGCTGCTGGTACAACAGAAGGGAAGATGATGTGTCAGATCCCTTGAAGGAACCTGTAGGATGTATGTTGAGGGAGGGAATGATAACCAGGGCTAGAGAGGCCCTGCCTCTAGCCAGGTAGAGGCATGGGAAAATGGGGTCTTTTGGACAGTACGGATCTGATGGCCTGGCACAAACCGGCGCTGCCGCTGGCGGGGCTCAGGGCCGAGCCCGGGAGTGACCACACGGGTGGGGAGGGACCCGCTGGACAGGGCAGGGACCAACCCCACGGACAGATCCCACGCCCTGGAGCAGGGCAAGGATTCCTGTCCCTGAGGGGGAAGCAGTGGCACAAACTGACTGTAACTCCCATCCCTTCTCCCTGCACCGCTGGGCAGAGGAGGGAGGGAACCGGGGGTTGTGTTGAATTTTTACATTCATTGTTACAAAGCAGAGTCGCAAGGGGAGCTCCGCTTTCAGCTTCTGATGAGGGAGTCCAACGTGGGTGCTGGGACTTCTGTAACCTCAAGGTATTACTTGGTACTCGACACTTTAGTTTTGGCAATATGAGGCCCTTCAGCAGCAATGTCTCTCCCAGCCACTGGTTTCTGGCTCAGACCCAGCTCACAACTGGGATAAGAAACCCAAAGTCCCAACAGAAAAAGCTCTGCCGTCACTTTTTTTCCCATATTTTTATTTCATTTCATTTCATTTTAGGTATCATATATAGTCTGCATTTTTTTTCTTTTTTTATAATCCCATATTTATTTACTATGTCCCCCCCAACCCTTGTCCCCTCCTGGAGGTTTGTGGGGAGGTGCCATCCCACAGCCCTTCCTGCCCCAGCACTCACGGCCGCTCCAGTGCCATCAGGCCCTGGCTCGAAGGGAAAGCACAAAACCCTCTGGAAATAAAGCTGGTCTGGGGGAAAACCCTGCAGGGGGGATTGAATCCCACGGACAGTGCTGGCTGAGAGTTGGAGATTCCAAATGCTCCAAGGGGCTGGAGGGAACTGCGCTGGGGCCTCAGGGGCTCCCTGGGGGCACCTCCGAGATTCCCGAGCAGAGTGACCCCTCCCACTCCCCAAAATCGGCAGGTTTGGGTCAGCTGAGGAAAAGAGCTAGAAAAGGGACTGGAAAGGGGATGGAGCTTGAGAGGACCCCTCAGCCATCATCTGGAGCTGCCACAGGAAAATCTCCCAGAAACCAAGAAAATAAATGGAAATAATAATGAATTTTTAAACCCTTTCTTCTGCTGTTTCCAGAAGATCCTGGCTGGGTCCTGCCAGGAGTTGCCAGGGGCAGGGGGGGAGATCAGGGCTTGATTGTGGAGAAGTTTAATTCAGGTGAGGAAACTTTGACTGTGGGGAGAAAATGTGAATGGGAGGGGATGATTTGAACTGGGGAGAGAAAATGTAGTCAGGAGAGGAGACCCCCAGCCCTCAGCCGTGTCCCAAAGGTGCTGCCAGCGGTTTCCCTGCCCCGACCCCCGGGTTGAAAACACACAAGGGAGAGGCCCATTCACTGTGCCAACTGCGGGAAGAGCTACAAACGCAACTCCCACCTTGTTGTGCACCAGCACATCTGCACTGGGTAGAAGCCCTACGAGTGTCCTGAGTGTGGGAAGAGCTTCTCCTACAGCTCTGCCTTGGCCTCACAGAAATGGACCCACGGATAAGAGAAGCTCTGTGAGTGCCCCGAGCGTGGGAAGGGCTTTGTCCCCTTGTCCAGCTTTATCACCCATCAGAGTGACCCACCAGAGACCTGGTGACTCCCATTCTGGGTGATCCATGTTTACATACAGCGTATTGGGTTTTGGTGGCCAGGTTTTGGAAATGAGGGGGGCATTAAAGCAACACAAGAGAAATTGTGTAAGGGAAAAGAAAGCAAGCATCAGAGCATAAAGATACACAGTCACCAGCCCTGGATCCAGCAACAAAAGTTTTGGTTTTGATTATTACAATGTCCTTGTCCTTGGTTTAAGTGAGGGTCCCAGGATGGACCCCTTGGGGGTTGGGAAAGCCCCAGAAACACCAAATTCTGTGGGTCAGTATGGATTCAGGTTTGGGTGAATGGCCAGGTACCTCCTCTGGGGGGAGTTTTACGCTGTCTGATGTCACACTGTGGATCCTGGGGCACTTTGGGCGGCTCTGATGGTTTATGGCCCCTTCTGAGATGTGGTCCTGCCTCTCCCAGCAGCGCAGTTGAGCCAGGTATGGCCCGTGTGGAGGGATGAAAACCTCCAGCCCTCTGTGTGAATGTCCTGGGCCTTCCCAGGGGAGTTTCCAGAGCTGAGGCAGTTGTGTAAGGGAGGGCATTGCCCTGCTGCAAAGCCCTGTCCCACCTGGCAGCATCTGCTTCTGACTGGCCTCTTCCCTTCCCTGGCTCCCAGCCCAGCTCATCCCGTCTGGGGCTGGGTGTTCACCCCTCTGCCCCTGGGCACTTCCCATGCCCACGGCCAGCCAAGCCCCCTCTGCTTTTGCCAGAGGTTCGAGCCATGATCCCGGGACATTTCAGTCCCTCACAGCTCTGCTCCCCAAAAGCAGAGAGGAATGGATGGTGCCTCAAAACGACTCCATCCCACTGAAAATGGCTCAGCTCCACCTCCAAACCACTCAATCCCACCTCAAAATTGTGGGGTATGTCCTGAGCCCAAATTACTCCCAGTTGTGGATGTTCCTTGTCCACAAACTTCACCCAGTTGTTGCCATCGAGGAAGTGACAGTGGGCTTTTCCCCAAAAATGGAACACACCTGTGTGGGAAAGGAGACAGGTGAGGGGGTGCCTCCCCTCACTCCCCAGCAGACCCCAGCATGCCAGAGCAGGTTGGGGGCTCAAGGGACCACCCTGGATGCCCCATTCCCACCCTCCTCTGCCCCACGGCCCCCACAGCACTGGCTGCTGGGTGGGGTCACCCCCACTGCCAGCCCCCCAGGGAGGGACAGGGAGGTTGGGGACTGAAGGAGATGGAGACGGGGGAGAGAGAGAAGGGGCTCCCTGCTGCAGACTCATGAGGTGCAGCCTGTCCCAGTGCTCCTTCAGGTGGTGAAATGCCCTGTATCAGGAACCTTGTAGCAGGAGGCTGGAGCAGCAGATACGAGCACACCTGCCGTGGGAAATGAAGTGTACCAAAAACTGAAACCATGCCTGGAGCCACAGGGGTCCAATGGACATGAAGTGTGTGGTAAACAAATGTTGTTCCTTTGCTAGGTTGTAAACGTAAGTTATAAGCTAAGTGTTGCTAAGTGTTGTTTTTCTGTCAAATTGCTGAGTAGAATGTGGAAGTTATAGCTCTAAGTTAGGTTAAATACTGTTAAGTGTTATTCCTCTGTTGAATTGCTAGGCCTAAGGTGAAAGTTAAGTTCCAAATTATGGTAGAAGTTCAAGTGCTGCTTAGTGTTAGTGTTTTAGGCCAAGTTCCTTTTAATCCTTGCCTGCACTGTCTTTTATCCCATGCACCTAAACACAACACAACCATCATCCCCTAGGTTTTTCTCAGTTAATTTCTGTTTTGGTTGCCTGGATTTTGTTTGGTTTTGTTGTTGTTTTTTTTTTTTTTGTTGCCTGGTTTTTTTTTTTTTTTTTTTTTTTTTTTTTTTTTTTTTTTTTTTTTTGGTGTTGTTGTGCCTTATCTGTCCTATAGGCAGTAGAGTGAATCTTGCCAGTGAACTTGTTGTGCTTTGTTGCTTAATGTTACCGTGATTGAAAAGGGTCTTGTCCAGTTAAATATCTCCCAAGACTGCAGCCGTCTCAGTGGCCAGGACCTGAAGTGGAAGGGGCGTGGAGTTCAAACCAACGAGAGTATCCAGACCGGATCTTTCAAATGCACTGTGTAAGGGGGGCTTGGGAATGAGTGTTGCCTGTTGCCACATGAACTTGAAGGTGAGTAGTCTCTGTCTCCTGCGCCCTCTCCCCCCAACACGTGACCTTGAATCATGATTTTAAAGGGTTAAGATTTTAGCTGAGGGTCAGAACCAATTTATATTGAAATTAGATACACCAATGATAGGTTAATGATGCTTAAGCTAAAGCTAATTGTTATATTATGACCTCATTGGTAGAAGGAAGTGGAGCAAGTGAACCATTATAGGAACATATTGAAACCAGTAGAACAACGCCCAGTGCTGTGTTAATCCATCATGAAGCAGGGGGCCTCGGATCATACCAGAGGGTCACAGACACCTGACAAAGACATTCCTGACTTCATCCCTAGGACCGCTGACCCAATTGGAGACCACCAACCCAATTCAAGAGAAGAGTTGCACATGTGTGAAGGACTAATAGCTTCATTTTAATACAAAGCGGGGATGGGAGGTGCTGGGGTTGTGCATGTGTATTATTTTGGGAAATAAACAGAAGGCAAAGAACCTTGTGCAGTGTGGTCACACATTTTGGGGACAACCCTGCGCGTGCTGCCCACCGGTGTAATAAACATACAACTTTCTAACTTTAACTATTCAGGGAGTCTTTGTCCTCGATCTTCAGTTTTAACGACTCAGTCTGATTTTTTGCCGGTGCTCCAGGCGGGATCTCTCCCGATTCTTCTTCCAGCTCCTGGGCCTCTCCTCAGCCATTTAGAGAGCCAATCAGAGCGCTCGGCGCTGATGACTCTCCAGTTGCCAGGCAGACCCACAGCGCCCAGAGCTCCTCACCTGGACTCCACCTGTGCTCCACCTTCGCCCCTGGACTCTTCCGCGAGGGGAATTTGGGGAGGGGGGAGGTATCAGACCCTGCCCGGCGCTGGCCATGGGGCGGGGGGCGGCAACTGGGGCCGCACTGGTGGCACTGCTGCTGCTGGGAGCCCCCCGGGCTGGGGGCGCGGAGCTCTCGGGTGAGCGGGGGGGTGGGAAGGGAAGTGTTAGGAGGGTGGGAACGGTGGGGTGTGGAGGGAAAAGGGGGAGGTGGGACCCTCAAATTGATGTGGGGGGTGGTGCTGGCGGCTAAGGAGTTATGGAAAAGGGGGAGGAAAATACGGAGAAGGGTGGAAAAGAGGAAGAGGGGCCGCGGGAAGAAAGGGCCTACAAGGGGTTGCACGTGGGGCACAAGGGGTGCAGACTGGGGATCCGGAGTTGCCTCTGAGCTCTTGGTTTGCTGTGGGGTGCTGGGGGCTGCTGGTGAGGCACCCTCTGACCTGTGTCCTGCACACATAGGAGTGTTCCAGGAGATGGTTAAGACCGAATGTCACTTCTTTAACGGCACCGAGCGGGTGAGGTTCGTGAAGAGGTTCATCTACAACCGGGAGCAGTACGTGCACTTCGACAGCGATGTGGGGCACTTTGTGGGGGACACCCCATATGGGGAGGAGGTTGCCAGGCACTGGAACAGCGACCTGGAATGGATGGAGCACAGACGGGCTGCGGTGGACAGGCACTGCCGGCACAACTACGAGTTGTCCACCCCGTTCCTCGTGGGGCGCCGAGGTGAGCGCGGGGAGAGCGTGTCCCCTCGTGAACCTGGAGCCCCTCAAAACCTCCCTGGGAATAACCCCAGACATGTCAGCCCTTTCTGTGCCCTTCCCTGTGGCCTTTTGCCCACCCCGCAATGTCCCGGAGCTCTCCTTGTCTCTCCCAGTCCATCCCAGTCTCTCCCAGTGCCCCTCGTCGTGTCCATATCAGCCTAGCGCGCTGCTGACGCCTCTCAGCCAATCAGAGCGCGTGTCTCTGATGACTCATCGGTTGCCAGGCAGATCCGCAGCCAAGTGTCCCGGGCACTTCACTCCCAGTGCCGCGCGCGTCATTCCCAGTTCCTCCCAGAGCCGCCCCAGATCCTCCCAGTGCCACAGAAATCCCTCCCAGTGCCAGGCACTTCATTTCCAGTCCCTCTCAGTCCATTCCCATTCCATTCCCAGTCCTTCTCTGTCCACTCTCGGACTTCCATTCTCTCTCCCAGTGCCCTCCCAGCATTCTCCAACCCCCTCCCAGTCCCTTCCCAATCCCTGTCAATGTTACCCGAGTCCTTCTCCGCGTCTCCCATGTCACGCGCATCTTATTCCAGTGTGTCCCCGCTCTCCCCCAGTGCCCCCCACCGTGTCCATCTCGCTGGTGCCCTTGAGCTCCCAGCCCAGTCCCGGTCGCCTGCTCTGCTCCGTGATGGATTTCTACCCTGCCGAGATCCAGGTGAGGTGGTTCCAGGGCCAGCAGGAGCTCTCTGTGTTGGTCACCGACATTTTGCCCAACGGGGACTGGACCCACCAGCTCCTGGTGCTGCTGGAAGCGCCCCCCCGGCGCGGAGTCACCTACACCTGCCTGGTGGAGCACGTCAGCCTGGAGCACCCCCTGAGCCAGAACTGGGGTACGGCCGGCCCCCACAGCGCCGGGAAAGGGGGAGTGGGACTGGGGGGTCTGGGAGGGGAACTGGTGGTAGCTGGGAGTAACTGGGAGGCAGTTTGAGGGAGGCAGGGGGTAACTAGGAAAAGGGTTTGGATGGCCTGGGAGGGCAGAGAAGAGTTTTGGAGGATGCTGGGAAGACTGGTATGCAGTTAAGGGTTTCCTGATGGATTCTGAAAGGGAACATCCTGGTGGTGCTGGATGTAACTGGAAGGGAGTCTGACGGAGCTGGAGGGGCTGGAAGCAGGTTGAGGATGTAAAAGTGGGGCTGGGATGGGAGTTGAGTGTGCTTCAATCTACTGGCAGTGATCTTGGTGAGTCCTGGTGGGACTGGGAAGGGACTGGGAAAAGGTTTGGGAGATCATTGGGAGATGGTGTCAACTGGGAGGGGGTTTGGGGTCCTGGAGGGATGGGAAATGGATTTTGGTGGTACTAGGGAGGTTGGATGGGGATAGGAAAGAGGTCTCATGGTCTTGGATGGGCTGGAGGGGTATGAGGGTGCTTGGAGGGGCTTGGGGTGTCTGTGAGAGGTTTGGGGGTCCTAAGCCCTGCGGAACCCCCAGAGATGCCACCGGACAGTGCCCACAGCAAGATGCTGACGGGGGTCGGGGGATTTGGTGTTTCTGGGGCTTTCCCAACCCCCAAGGGGTCCATCCTGGGACCCTCACTTAAACCAAGGACAAGGACATTGTAATAATCAAAACCAAAACTTTTGTTGCTGGATCCAGGGCTGGTGACTGTGCATCTTTCTACTTTTATACTTATTTCTTTTCCTTTATAAATTTTCCTAAGTGTTATTTTAATGAGAGATGGTAACAAAAAGGGTTCCAAACCTGCTTTACATGGCAAAGAAATTGTTCTAAAATAAACCCAACAGAGATATATTGATAAACACAGATCAGTCACTGTTGTTTTACTTTAATCTGTGCCAGGGCATCCATGAACCAGAACCTTGGTTATCTTCACCTTCAGGAGTGGATCAGAACAGGAGCCACTGTTGGAAGCTTCTGGAAGACATGGGGGAAGCTTCTGGAAGCTCCTCACAGAAGCCACCCCTGGAGCACCCCTGTTTCCAACACTGATCACACAAACCCAGCACACTGCCCGACATGGATTACCAGGAACAGGGGTCACCAGGTCTCTGCCCAGCGGGGCTCACTGTGGATCACCCAGCGTAGGTCCTTGTTGCCTTCTGCTATAAGGCAAGGCGACCTGGTTTCGACAAGCAGCACGGCGACCCAGACTCACCAGGGTCACTCGAGCCAAAGACACAATGCTGACACCAATGTGCTGGGCGGTCAAAGGCGTGTATTGTCTCATCTCGTAGGGTTATATAGTCTAGGGGGCTTCACTAGGTCAGAAGGGGGTCTGCAGTGCCATCTATGGTTAGTAAGGAGTGGAAAGTTACTACAGTTAGGGGGGTTACATTCCTAGTTACATTCCTAGGGTGATCGCTTATCTCAGGGGATTGAGGGAAAAGGAAATCCTGCTGCTTTCCGTCACATTGCGTGACCTTCCGTTCGCCTGTCCCTATCTACCAAATCTCCCCCCACCCTTTTTCACAAATGAATGAGGTAGTCATAGACATAGGCACTGAAATGAGGTATAAGGTTGTAATTTGACAAGGGAAAGGGGTTTGGTAAACCTGAGTAAGTTTTTGCCAGGCAGGCAAATTTAGAAAATCTTGTGACTGGCAGTGTTCCCGGTTGAATTCACAGCATTTGTTGCCGGCCTATGAACAGGATGTTGGCCCATTCTAGGCGGGTCTGAACGAATGAAACTAGCTTGTTCAGCAGGCATGGTCCGAAGGTAATAGGTAAAAGTAGCATTGCCAATGGACCTATTAGGGTAGAAATTAGGGTGGGTAGCCATGATGATCGATTGAACCAGGACTCGAACCAACCCTGCTGGGCTTCCCTGTCTTTCTGTCTCTGAGCCGGTCTGTTTCGGAGTTCTGCCATGGAGTCTCTGACGACTCCGGTGTGGTCTGTGTAGAAGCAGCATTCCTCTTTCAAGACGGCACACAGGCTTCCTTGTTGCATGAACAGGAGGTCCAGTCCTCGCCTGTTCTGCAGGACCACTTCTGAGAGTGAGGAGACTGACTTCTCTAGGCAGGAAATGGATTTCTCGATCCTCTGCAGGCCCTCATCGATGGTCATCTGCAGCTGGGACAGCCCTTGGTGTTGGATCGCTAGGGCTGAGACACCTGTGGCCGTTCCGGCTGCTCCTAGGCCGAGCAGCATTGCGATAGTTATACCTGTCATTATTTCTCTTTTGAGGCTGGGTTCCTCAAAAAGGTGGTACACCTCTTCGTCTGAGTGGTACAGGACCCTAGGAACAATCAGAACTTGGACACAGAAGTCGTTAGAGTCATTGAATTTGGCAAGGAACACACAGGGACTTACTCCAGATCGCTGGCAAACCCACATCCCAGATGTGGATGGGACTACCCGCTTATTGTTCTTTCTGTCGTGCTTGACAACTTTGGTGCAAATGTTGCCTTTCTGGACTTGACTCAGGGTGATTCCTTTTTGGGGGGTGTCCCACCTGCACTGGTGAGGGCCGTCAGCTGTGGAGTAACTGAAGGGGGTATTTAATGTGACTCCTTCGTAAAAGGGGGGTTTGACATCGTAACAAAGCCAGCAGGAATCGGTTAGGTTCGGGTTGGATTCGTTCAGGGATAGAAAGGTAGCTTCTAGCATGCGAAGGATTGGGTCCGAGTCTGACCCGGCTGAGCAGTCTATCTGAAAGGTTTCCGCATGGCCGGTCGGGATATCGGTGACCTTTGTGGGCAAGGCTTTAGGGTAGGTCGTGTTTCTCCCTTTCTGCGTGTTTTTAATCACTTTGTTGGGTCCGACTGCTCGGGGTGCCGACGGTTGGAGCCTGATGATTCACACGTTCACCCCCTCTTTCGACCCTTGAAGGACTACTGTCCACGCTTTGCCTATGGCCCAACTAGGGTGATCTGGCTGCAAAACCGTCATGTTGTAGTCTGTGCATTTCCGAAATTTAGGAATTTTAAGACGGTTTCGATAGAAACTTCCCTGGAGGAAGACGGGTGTTTTACAGCCGGCGGGTGCCCAGGTGAACTGTAAGAATTTGTTGGGCTCTTGTGGCTCCCACCCAGGCCCTGACGGTCTGGCATCTGTAACAATGGTTTCGCAGCCCCAGTACCCACAATATCCCCACCCCGGGTGATTGCCGTAGTTTTTTCCTGGGTTTGAGGCTGGGCACCAGTAGGATAGGTACATGTGTGTGGCATGTGAGGATGCGAAAGTACTGCTGGCGGTGCTGCGCAACTCTGCCATTGTGCTGCTGGCGGGGGTGCGAAACCGACTGTCTCCTGGCGGGGCACGGGGTACGAGGGTGCCCTGCCCCACTGGGGGTTGGCACCGATGGGCCGTCTTGCACTCGCAGCGGGAGGAGGCTGAGTATGGCCCGCGCGCCCCCTCCCTTTCCCGTTTCCCCGGGGCCGGGATCTACAGTCCCTAGCGAAGTGGCTTCTCTTCCCGCAGCTCCAGCAGATCCCTCTCGGGTGTCGTTGGAGCAAGGGTGCTGCCAGGGAATGCTGTGCCGGCTGGGGACAGCTCGCTGCGACGTGGCCTGCCTGACCACATTTAAAGCACGCCATTGCGCTGGTTAGGGTGCGGACGGCCGCTTGAATGGGTGTCAGCTGTTCTTCTCTTACAACATGTTTGATCATGTCGGCCAAGCTGGCCCCGGTCGGCAGGGAACGCAAGATATCTTTGGTGACGGTATTGCACTGCTGCCGTAGGCAGTCGGCCACCACGGGGCCCTTTGCCACCTCAGGCAGGGTAGAGGCGTCTACCGCTGCTTGCAGGCGATCTACAAACTGCGTGAAGCTCTCACTCTCTCCCTGCTTTATGGTGGACCACGGTGGTGGCTTGGCTACCACCAGAGAGGCGGCACGTATGGCTTCTCTGGCAGCTCGGGATGTTGCCCTGACCTCCTCAGCCCGCAGTTGTGCGGCTTGCTGCTGTGGCGTAGCCACCTCGCCGTGTTTCCCCAGCAGTCTGGACAGGCTGGAGCCGTGCAGCTGCTGCCCTTCCCCAGAAGCCTGGGCTAGTGCGATTGTGCAGTGATCCGTCCATTCCTGCTTAAATAAAATCAGCCCCGCCCCATCAAAAAGCATGCGGCTTATTTGTGTGATATCAAAAGGGAGCAGATCGTTATTGCTAAAAAGGCCATCCACAAGGGTGGATACTACAGCTGAGTTGATCCCTTTTTCTGAAACCGCTTTGGCAATCGCTTGTACGTCTTTAGGGTTTACCGGGGTATATGTCCTTTGTTGATTCCCCTGTGGACCGGTGACTCTCCCCGGGAAAGCGCATATCGCGGCTGCGGGCGCCCAATTCGCACAAGCTATTTTTATTTTTCCCCAGTCGGTGAGTTTGTGTTGCAATTGTTTCCTGGTGTTGCTTAAAGCTTTATCCGGTTTCGCTTGAAACCGCATTAATTCTGTTCTCTCCGCTTCCGAGTCGCCGCTAGACTCGGTCAGCTCTGCGGAGCTATCTGATGAGCTGTCGCTCGACTCAGAGCCGGAAGTTGACTGCCGGTACATTTCCGGCCCTCCCTGCCGTTTTGTGCGGCTCCGACCCCGCTCCTCCCTCCGGGGGTGGTGCCGCTCCCGCCCCCTGGGCTTGCCCCGCCTCCCGCAAGGCGGGGTCTCTCCCTTATATGGTAGCAGCATTGGGCACGGCTCCCGATCGACTATACGCCCTCTGCTGGTCTCCCGCGCATGCGCATCAGCGACTACTCGCTCCTCCGGGTTTTTCCCGCCGCGGACTCGCGGGCTCCGCCCATCCCCTTGGTCGCCGGCGCCATGTTTGAGCGTGTGCGGCGGCGGCGCTGCCCGCGTGTCCGTGCCAGCCGTTCTTTCGGCGTCCTGGGCCTCCTCCGCCAGCTCCCCCCAAAAGGATCGCGCGCTCCGCTGTGCCTCCCGCGCCGGATCGCTGGCCGGCCACGAAGGGACGGGCAGGGAAACGGCGGATTTTTCGGAAGGTTCCGCGGGGGGGCTGGGACCCGGCGGGCTCCGCGGGAGGGTCGGGGGGTCCCCTGAGGGCTCCGGGGGGTTTGGGCTCGGGCTCAGGGAGGGGTGGAACGCGCCCGGCCCCCGCGTGTTCCCGCCTTCAATCAGATCGCTCTCAGAGGCGGTCTGCGTCGCTGCTCCTATCCCCAGCTTTGGTGCAGCTAATAAACATGCACGCGCGGCTTTCCACGTCTCCTGTTCTAATAATGCCTGGCGTAGGGCCTCTTCTACTTTCCCCCACGCTTTGAGGCTTTTGCTACTGCCTGAGGATTTCGTGTCCTCTGCTAAGGCGGCAGTACATTTTCCCAACACCTCTGAATGTAATATTTCTACGGGGCGTTCAATCGTCCCCAGCTCGAGGAGTCTTGCGATAGCAAGATTAAAATTCCTGAGCTCACACTTAATTCCCCGCTGCTCATGAACCAAACTTAGGACCTTCGCGATAGCTTCCATGGGGATCGCTGGTCCCGGGGGCGTCCCCCCTGCGCTGCAGACGGTCCCGCCGCTGCAGCCGCTGTCTCTCGTCCCGGCGAGCCCCGTTACCCGAGCTCCTTCCCGGGTTTCGGCGCCACTTGTTGCCTTCTGCTATAAGGCAAGGCGACCTGGTTTCGACGAGCAGCACGGCGACCCAGACTCACCAGGGTCACTCGAGCCAAAGACACAACGCTGACACCAATGTGGTGGACGGTCAAAGGCGTTTATTGTCTCATCTCGTAGGGTTATATAGCCTAGGGGGGCTTCACTAGGTCAGAAGGGGGTCTGCAGTGCCATCTGTGGTTAGTAAGTGGAAAGTTACTACAGTTAGGGGGGTTACATTCCTAGGGTGATCGCTTATCTCAGGGGATTGAGGGAAAAGGAAATCCTGCTGCTTTCCGTCACATTGCGTGATCTTCCGTTCACCTGTCCCTATCTACCACAGGTCCTCCAGGGGGTAATGGAGTTGGAGCAGCGTTTGAAGCCCTTCCCACACTTGGGGCACTCACAGGGGTTCCCTTTCCAGTGAATCCATTGCTGTACGGTCAAGGTAGAGCTCTGGGTGAAGTTTTCCCACAGTCAGGACGCTCCTAGGGCCATTCCCCAGTGTGGATATTCTCGTGGTGAATCAGGTGGGAGCTCTGGCTGAAGTTCCTCCTTCACTCCCCACACTTGCAGAGCCATTCTCTAGAGTGCAGGCGCTGGTGGCTGATGAGGTTAGAGTGGTCACTAAAGCTCTTCACACAGTCCCTACACCTGTAGGGCCATTCTCCTGTGTGAATTATCTGATGGCAGATCAGACAGGAGCCCTGGCTGAAGCTCTTCCCACATTCCAAGCACTTCTAGGGCTGTTCCCCCCTGTGGATCTTCTGGTGCCAGATCAGGTAGCAGCTCCATCTGAAGCTCTTGCCATGTTCCAAGCACCTGTAGCACATCTCTCCAATGTGAAACCACTTAAGGACCACCAGGTCAGAGTTCTGGATGAAGCTTTGGGCACCTTCCTGACACAGGATAGGTCTTTCCTCCTTGGAGCACTGTGGGCTGTGTTTGGAGACCCTCCTCGTGGGATACCACTGTAGCTTCTCCTCCCCATTGTATTCCTGTGCCATGGAGTCACTCAAAATGGCCTCTTCCACGAGGTTCTGATGCAGGGATTTGTCCTCCCTGGTCTCTGTCAGTGCCTGGGGAAGGAGAGAGAGGAGAGAAAGGAGAGGAATGAAGGAGGGATAGAGGGAGGAAGGAAGTGAGGGAGGGAGGGGGGGATGGGATGGGATGGGATGGGATAAGATGGGATGGGATTTGCCTCCATGCAAGCAGGAAGGGGAAAGACATCCCCCAAGTCCATCCCTGGCAGGACAGTGTTGGCAGTGAGGTTGTCCTGCAGCCAGGGGCGATGCTGGGCTGGGAGATGGAGCAGAGGAGAGGGGGAAAGGAGCAGGGACTTCCTCCTCGCCTGCCTGGGTGCTCCTGTCTGGTGTCTCCACTTTGGTTTCCCTCTGTCTGGCCTGCTGGGGGTCTCGTGTATGTTGGGGATCCCCCATCTCCAGGATCTCTCCTTCTCCCAGATTACCCCTCACTGAGCTTTGCCCTGTCTCTCTGTTCAGAGGATATGTGATTACCACATTGCCTCTCTCAGTTCTCCCCTCTCCAGGGGTCCTGGCCTTCCCCCAACCCTGGCTCTCCTCAGGAGTCCCCAGAAATTGAGTTCCTGGTCGCCACCAATGACCACTGAATCCTCCCTCCCCCAGTATTCCGATATTCCCCAGTGGATACCTGGCACTTGGGCTGAAGGTAAGATCAAGGTGGGACAATTGTCCAGGTGTTATCTCAGGCCTGGGGGAGGTTAACAAAGCTGGGGAGGAGAATGGATCGCTGAGAATGGACACCAAGACTGCAGAATTTATAGGCCACAAGGAAATCCTAATCCAGCAACTGTGTGAAATCAGCTCTGGCTGGATCAAAGGGAATTCTGGCAGGGCCAGACAGTGACCACCGACCCACGGCCACCAACCCCAGAAACAACCAACTCTAAAGAAAATAAACTCTGAGCATGCAGGCTAACAAGTACAGTCTTCCTAATGAATTTCTGTTCTGCCAATTGATGGGGTTAGCACAAAAGACACAATTTTAAGAAATAAACATAATTTTTTATAGTTCAAAAGAGCAAAGAATTAAAAAAGGATAAGTAATGCACCAAATAATTAGTACAAAAGATTCCTGTAGTGATTAATAAAGATCCTTGAATGACTGACATTGGAAAGGTGACCCACATTGCAGCAGTTTGGGGAGGACTGTTGCCCCTGCGATGGACTCATGCTGCAGCAGTTTGCAGACAGCCGTTTCCTATGGGATGGACTCGCTCTGGAGAAGTTTATGGATAACTGTCTCCTGTGTTAGGGACTCCACAGAGCAGCAGAGGAACAACCCTGAGCAGTGGGGGAAGCCACAGATGATGAACTGACTGTAACCCCCATTCCCTGTGTCCTTCTGCTGCTGGGATAGAGCTGGGATGGAGGGAGGGTTGAGGAAAGGTGGTTTTAAGGGCTTATTTTATTTATTATCCTGCTCTGATTTTGTAGTTCATTTCATATCTCAAAACTGAGCCTGTTTTGCCTGTGATGGTGTTTGGAGAGGGATGATTCTCCTGGTCCTTGTCTCAACCCATTAACCCTTTGTTACATATTTCCTCTCCCCATCTGACGGTGGAGGGGAGTGAGTAAGTGGCTTTCGTGGGTGCGTGGCATCCGGCCAGCATCAACCCACATTTGGGTTCCTCCCAAAGCCTGGTCAGGGCTCAAGAAGGAACCAAGGGAGCTGGCTTTGATGGTGTACCTCCAAACAAGGCCACATATCTGATTTCGTTGCTTTGACTGTCCCCTGAACATGGAAAGATAAATACACTTGTATCACATTACATGTTTCACTAATGATCATTGATATTTCCACTAATTAGTAGATGCAGGTATCATATAAGGTTTGGTTGGAAGGTTCATCTAGAGATCAGCTTTGGCACAGGGCCTGTTGTTCAGGCCTCAGTACTTCAATTTCCGATGTCAGTCCCCATCCTGATAGAAGTTCTTGCCCCTGTGTTCATCCAGGTGCCCCAGGGAACCAGGAGGAGGTGAAGACCACCAGCCAGGTGTCTTCCCAATGTGGATCATGTGGAGCACAGGTGTCTTGGTTTAGGATAAGTTTGGGAGATAACTCTTAAAAAGGGGCTTTTCTACGAAAGCAGATTCAATTGCTTTTTTCTCTTTAACTGGTTCGGGAGAAAATATTTATTTGGAGAAAAAGTGGAAAGAAACCTGTTTATTAAACAATAGAACCCAAACAATATTTAACAATAAAACTTCTTACTGCTCCAAAAAAACCCCAAACTCAGAACAGTCCCCTCCCCGTGTTGCAGCTCGGCTCACTCAGTCTCTGATCAGTCTCTCTGGTGCTGGAAATGCTGCAGCCCAGGCCCGGCCAAGGGGCCACAGGTGGAGCTGCCGGTGCTCTTCTGGGTGTTCAGTCTAGAGCAGGTTTGAACAGATCTAAGAAAAAGGAAAAAATCACAGTTTAGGGAATTTGAAAGTATTCTATTGTGGATTGTTGTGTGTATGTAGTTTTCCCCTTCCTTTTCGTGTCTGTGTAGATTAATAAAGTGTTGTCTTTTCCCTCCATTCCCAAGTTAGAGCCTGCTTTGTTCTGTTCCCGGGTCACATCTCACAGCAACCATTTCGTAAGATACACCTTTCATGGAAGCACTGGCACTGTGCCAAGGTCAATCCATGTCAACCAGGAATGTGGATCACCATGTTTTTGCACAATATGTGTCACTGTGGACAATGAAACATGGGTCCTCTAGTGGCTGATGTAGCTGGAGCAGGAGATAAAACTCTTCTTGAAGTCAGGGCACTTGTAGGGCTTCCCCTTCTCATGGGTCCATTGGTGTGAAATCAAGGCAGGGCTGTCGGAGAAGCTCTCCCCACACTCAGGACACTTGTAGGGCCTCTCCCTGGTGTGGATGTGCTTGTGGGTGACAAGGTGGAGTTGTGTTTGAAGCCCTTCCCGCAGTCAGGGCAGCAAAGGGCCTCTCTCTCTCTCTCTCTCTGTGTTTGCTCATGCATGACCATCAGATGGGAGCGCCTCCGAAAACTCTTCCTGCTCTCAGGATACTTGTAGGGCCGTTCCTCACTGTGGATCTTCTGGTGGTAGATCAGGTGGGAGCTGAAGCTGAATCTATTTCTGCAGCTGGGGCACTGCTAGGGCTCCCCAGTGTGGACAAGGTGGTGGGAGAGGAGGCTGGAACTCCGGCTGAAGCTCTTCCTATGCTCCCCGCACTTGTAGGGCTGCTCCCCAGTGTGCAGGTTCCGGTGCATGATGAGGCTGGAGCACTCAGTGAAGTCCTTCCCACGTTTCAGGCACTTGTATGGCTGTTCCCAGGTGTGAATATTCTGGTGGCAGATCAGATAGGATCTTTGCCTGGAGCTCTTCCCACATTCCAAGCACCTGTAGTGCTTCTCATCAATATGATGCTGCTTGTAGACCACCCATGTCTGAGTTCTGGCTGAAGTTCTGGCTGCCTTCCTGGCACAGGGTGCATCTTTTCTCCTCAGAGCACCCTGGGCTGGATTTGGAGCCCTTCCTCATGGGATATTTCTGGGGTTTTTCCTCCCTGTTGGATTCCTGTGCTGTGGAGGTGCTCAGAATGGCCTCTTCCTCAATGTTCTGCCAGGAGATTTCTCCTCCCTGGTCTCTGCCTGCAGCTCAGTGCCTGGCAGGAGGAAGAACAAGGAGAGGATGGGATTTGCCTCTGTGCCTGAGGGAAGGGGAAGGACTTGCCCCAAATCCATCAGGATGGCATCAGCAGCAATGTTGTGCTGCAGCCAGGGGAGATACTGGGCTGGGAAATGGAGCAGAGGACAGGGGGAAAGGGGCAGTGACTTCCTCCTCACCTGCCTCAGTGTCCTGGGGCATCTTCTGTTGGGAAGGATGAAAGTTTGACAAGAAAGTCTCACAAATATGTATGCTTAGCAGAAAGATTTTTGAATGTAGAAGCTGAAGAAGGAATAGAGATGGAAGCAAGTTTTGATATAAAAGAAAAGAATTGCTGAGCCAGTCTCACTGGATAACCAAGGAGGCAAAGGGTATGTTAGTTAGAAGGGGGTTTTTATGACTTAGAGAAAAGGATAAACCCACCTCAACAAGAAGATGCTGTTACCAAGCAGAAAGATAGCACAGGCAAACAAGTCAGCAAATGTTGCAAGTAGAAAAAAGGTCTCAGAATTTTCCACTGCAAGAAAACTGAAAAACAACTTGTAGCTTAAACTGTAATGTACTAACTTTTAGTGATTGGAGAATAGTAACATGAATATGGTAATTATAGTAGTTGTGATAGGCTATAGATAAAAGTCAAGGTATAGATTGGTTCTATTGTATTAAGATGCTCAGCAAAGAAAAGTATATAATGCATTTGTAACCTAAACTCGGGGTCTCCAGGCCTGCCTGCAGATGCAGCTGACAGCTGTAGGTACAGGCTCTGTCGCCCACGACCCTGGACTGCTGTAACACCTTGGATGTAATAAACTGCATTTGGAAGAGCCACCTGGAGTCCCGCATCTCTCATTCAGGCTCTTACAATCTTCCTCTTTCTTACAGCCTCCTTCTCCATCCAGCCAAGGCTTAGAAATGACAAATCCTGGTTTTGGGGAAAAACAAGGCATGGGACTGTTGTGCAACAAGGCGTGACAGTGTTGGGTTGCGGTTTCCTCCTGTCTAAATCCATCTCCAGAAGTCACCAGGCATCCTGTGTCCACACATACCTCCAAAACAAGATGCAGACCAGAAACCCCTCCTATGAGAAAAGAAGGGCACTGGTGAGTTTTTCAAGGAGCAAAATCATACGCAGCTGACTGCGCTTGTGGATGAGCAGCTGCTGGATTTTGCAATTCCCTTCAGTGCACACAAAAGCCCAGTGCTCTGCTGCTTCACTCTGCCTTCTGTGATCTGCACAGGACTGAAGCTGAGCGAGGCTACTCAGCTTTGCCCCATTTCAGCATCTGTGCTACACGTAGGCACTGTGACATCTCTGGGGGTCTTTTGCCTTTTGAGGCTGTAATGTGCCCGCTGGTACAAAGGCCTTCCTGTGGTCTCCTGGCTTTGGGGTTCTGGGGGTGTCCCCTCTATAGGATGCTGGGCGTCCTGCATGTATTTAAAGTTAGATCTCTACAGGGTCCCCAGCCTCTTCAGGCTGCATGTGTTCCTGGCAGTTTCAGGTGTCTTCCCTCTATCATCTTCCCACTTTGGGGTTTTTGAGGTTCCCTTTCTCTGGGCTGCTTGGGGGTACCATGGGTCCAGGTGGATCCCCTTCTCTGGGGTCCAGCTTATGAATGCCCAGGGTTTTGGGCATCCCAGGGGTTCTTTCTCTCCTGACTGTGTCCCAGGGATCCCCTTTCTCTATGCTGTTGGAGGTCCTGGCTCCCCTCCTACATTGGTTATCTCTCCTCCTATCGAGACTGCCTTGGGTCCTCCCTCTTAGGATCCTGGTTTCAGGGCCCTGGGGCTCTTCCCTCTTTCTCCCACCCCTCCAGCCTTCTGCAGGTCCCTCAGCACAGTTTCACCCCTCTCCCCACACTGGAGATTCCACGTTTCCCCCTAGCCTGGCTCTACCCGGGGTCTCCAATACTGCTGTCCTCGCCAGCACCCCTCAATGCTTCCACATGGCTCTGGGAGCCCCACGCTGCACCACCCATGGCAGGGACTCTGCCGGGGACCCCTAACATCCCACTATAATAAATAGGTGTGATTCGTGCTGATAAAATTGAAACAGTAATCAATATTGATACAGTAATTAATATCTGGAAATAATAAAACAGTTAAAGGTGTAATGCCAAGAAAGAAAAGGAGAGGAGGGGCTCCCCCCCCCTTCTCCTGCAGATGTTCAGAACAGCAAGAAGCAAGAGATAACTATTACTAAATTTAGTTGGAAGTAGAGGAAAATTTGGTTGGACATCCAGAAAAATGCTAATTATATGAGATTTATTGCTTTGATGCTAGAACATAATATTGGCTTGTATGATATTAGCTTTTGCTTACATTATACCAGCTTGGTGTGCATGTCTAATCCAAAAGGAGAATTAAAGGACATGGAAGAAGAGAAGAAGCCTTCATCAGAGACGACCCCCAAAAAATGGGGGACCACCTAAAAGAAATGGTGGAGCATGCGTGGTAAAAGTGATAATGAAGGTGGAGATACAAGTGTGACAAATAGAAAATGGGAGGAGGTGGTGATGATGTATGTTATAAAAAGAGGAATTTTAGGCTTGGTAATTCATACGTGAGGGGACAGGGGTCAAGCCCTGCCCTCCTACCCCACACAGTTATTTTTGCTTATGTGCTATTATAAGAACCAAATTATCCCTTATCATAACCAAATTATATTGCCAATATTTTGAGTGTATTCAATTTTATATTCTTTTAAGCTACTTAAAATTGCTGCTACATTTAATGTTGTTTGGGTTTCTTTTATGATGGGATAATTGGGCAAATATAACACCACTAAGGAGCATTTGCAGCTCAGTCTTGGAAGTGCTGCAGGCTGAAAATATCCTACTCTGCCCAAAAAATAGTCCCAGGGGCACCCTAGATATTTGGGCTGAGCTCCTCTTCCCTGGTTACCTGAGGAACGCAGGGAGGGAGAAACCCCCAGGGGCGAGCTGGGCTGCAGAAACAGTGACTGCTGCAAGATGACTCCTTTTCCCTCTTCCTTCTCCTTGTCTCTCCCTACTCCTCCTCTTCCTTCTCCTTAATCCTGCTTTTTTTCTCCTTCTTTGTCCATCCTTTCTCTCACTGCTCCTTCATCCCTCCTTCTCTGTCCCTTGTCCTCCTCCCCCCACAAGCAGCACTGCCTGGAGCGCTCCAGCCCCTCCTGCACTGCCTTGTGTTTGCAGAGCTGTTCTCTTGGGCTCCAATGTTTTAAGGTCACTTAAAGAATCACCAGGAAACCCATCAGCAGAAACAGGTCTCATATAAAAGCGACCCTGCAACAAAGTTCCTTGGCAAGGTTCACTCTGCCACATACTGGATGCTTAAAGCACTCTGAGAAACAGCAAAAACCAAAAATCAATAAATTCAAATGGAAATAAACCCACAACCATTTTACTCGATGCGGGGGGTGGGAGGGGACAGAGGAGCAGGGGAGAGAAAAGGATAGGAAAAGGCAAGGATAAAAAGGAATACGGAGGACCCCACTGTTGAGTCACAAGGGTCAGAGTAGACACCTGTGCAGAACTGAGCCTGGATTTCAGCAGTTTATGCTTAAAGGCCCAATAGCACTTAACTTAAACTTAACTGAAACTTAATCAGTAACTTCACATAGAATTTATTACACCACAACAGGAACATACCCACAGGCCTGACTGACTTACATCTCTTAAGTACTTCCGACTCCAGGAGAGTGGCATTCCCAGGACATTTGCTATGGCATATTCAGCGTCACACACGTATGGACAGAAGGAGTCTGCACGAGGTCCCTGTGGGGAATTCCCCTGGAATCCAGTGGGATTCTCCCTTCAGTTGCCTTTGCATCTTCCCACCAGGTGCAGGGCAGAGCCTCGAGGAGTGGGGGGCTCAGCCCAGACCATTTGGGGATGCCCCAAGTGCAGCAAATGGGAGAGTTCCCAGTTGCTGCCACAGCTGCTGCAGCCCAGGAGAGTTCCAAGGGTCTCACTCAGGGCTGCTGTTTATGGGGCCCAAGGGATGGGCTTTAGTCTCAGACATTTTTCATCCTAGCCCCAGCTCAGGTTGGTGACTTTCTGGGAAAGGTTGAGACCAAAAATATGATCCCATTTGGGATGTTATTCAGGCAAAAGAAAAAAGAGTTTCCAAGGCTTTTAGTTAATAAGCAGAAGCTTTTTGGACAGCACCAGTTCCTGGAGCAGATAGTGTTTGTGATAAGCACCAAAGGAGCTGAGCCCAGGGTTTGATCACCAGGGCCAAGGCCTAAAGAGCATTTCTCAGATCATGCTTTGGCTTAGGGAAGGGTGGATGGACTCTTCCCGAGTGTGTCCACTGATGCTTTGTGAAACCTGAGCCGCTCCAAAACCTCTTTCCTTGTTTCCCACAGTTGTAAGGCCATTCCCTATGTGCCGGGGCTGGTAGCGAAGGCGGAGGGAGGTGTCCCCGCCACAGTGCCGAGCTGCTCCTTGGTGTAGATGCTCCTGTCCATGAACCTCACCTGCTCGGGGTCGTTCAGTGGCAATTGGCCTTTCCCATCCCCTGAACACCCCTCTGTGGGCAGAGAGGCAGGTCAGTGGCACCTCAACCCCAGCAACCCCCCGAATCCCACAGCAGGTTGGGAGCTCAAGAGGCCACCCCTGCCCCCTTTCTCACACTCCACTCTGCCACGTGGCTGCTGGAGCACTGGCTGCTGGGTGGGGGGAACCCCCCCAGTGGATGGAGGGTTGGGAAACCCCCAGAGTGGATCTACCCACTCAGAGACCCCCGGAACCGCTCCAGGGATTAAGTGATGAGGAACACGAAGCACCCTGTAAAAGCATGTTTGTGCTGACCCACCACCTCTTACATCCCCTCTCCCACCCCTGTCCCATCGTCCTCCACAACCCCAGTTCCCCTCTGGTCAGTTTGGGGGTGGTCTGCCCTCTCTCTTACTCTTTTTGGGGATCCCTCCCATATTTCCCCCCTCTTCCCCCATTTTCCCATCATGTCCAGCTCCCCTGCTGACCTAAGAGCTTCTGGCCTGCGGATGGAGGGATAGAGGAGGAGGAAGAGGAAGTGGAGGAGGAAGATGAGAGGGAGAGGAGGGATAGAGGATGAGCGAGAGGAGGAAGAGGAGCAGGGAGAGGAGGTATCACGTGCATCCATCGTTTAATGCAACTGCAGTCCCTCTGCCCCTGGAGGATTGGCCCCTCACATCCCTCAGTGACCAGGGAGAGGGAGATTATCTCAGATATCTTGGGCAGTCCCCAGGAGCATTGTTTTTGCAGGACACCCCGTGGCTGCTGCCGGCAATTGCCCCGTGCTGGCCAGGGGTGTGGAATGCTGGTTTTGGGGGCTTCCTGGGAGAGACGAATGCGGGAAAGCCTGGGACCCCTGGAGTGGGGAAAGTGGAAATGGGCAATACTGGAACTGTGGGACCTCTGGCAGACTGGAGGTGGGAGGAATATGGATAGGGGAGAGCCCTTGGTACCCTGGAACTTGGAATGGGGGGCTGGGAGAGGAGGGAGCCCAAGAGTGCAGAGGGGCACGGAGCTCACTGAAGTGTAGGCTGGAAAAAGGGGGAGTCTGGAGAGGGACAATTCCTGGGACTGCTAACAGGCTTGAGACAGGGAACCCCTAATAAAACGTGGGACCTTCAGCAGTACAGGCAGGGGGAGCCCCAAGAACCTCAAAGTGGAGAGACCAGAGATGGGTTTTTGGCTGAATCTTGGTGTTTTGAAAATCTCTATGGACACAAGATGCCTGGTGACTTCTAGAGATAGACTTGGGCAGAAGGAACCTCCAACCCAACATGCTCACACCTTGTTTATCCTCCCAAAAAAGGATTTCTTATTCCAAAACTTGGCCAGATGGAGGAGGAGGCTGCAAGGAAGGGGAATGTAGGAATGCAGCTGGCTAGGATGAATAGTGGTTTAGCCTCAGTGGCATATACAGGAGGCATCAACCTGAGACCGTGGGAAACAGGATACTGAAAGAGAGCTGTCTGGTCAGGTCATGGTGAAAAGAGTGTGGTCATGGGAGTTAGTATGTTGACGGTGTGTTAATGGAACTATTCTGTATTAAGTCACGTTTCTGGTTCTTGTTCTCAGTTGGTTCAGGACCTGTCACATATAAGGTCACGTTCAGAGTTCGTGTTGCTGATTGGACCCCTGCCCTCAGAATAGCCCTGTATGTTATGTTCACCACGCCCTCCTGTCTTTGGATCTTGCCACTCAGATGGTGCAGTTTCTGTGTTTGTTATTTTGCTGTTAAAGTTCTCTATTTTTCGGGCAGATCCACCGTTCCCATCCCTCTATTTTGCACATTGCCCCCAGCTGGATTGGACTCGGGGCTGCAGCGAGCCAGGCTGCGATAGAGGAAGATGCCCCAGGACACCCAGGCAGGTAGAAGGAAGTTACTGCCCCTTTCCCCCTGCTCACTTTCCCCCTGCTCTATCTTTTAGCTGAAAATTGCCCTGGGCTGCAGGACAACCCCGCTGCTGATGCTGTCCTGCTGGGGATGGATTGGGGGATCTCCTTCCCCTTCCCTCAGCCATGGAGGAAAATCCCATCCTCTCCTTGTCCTTCCTCACCCGGGCACTGAGCTGCAGACAGAGACAAGGGAGAACAAATCCCTGCAGCAGAACCTCCTGGAAGAGGCAGAGATCCCACACAAGGAGGGGCTGCAAACCCAGTCCAGGGTGCTCTGAGGAGGAAAGACCCACCCTGTGCTGGGAAGGCAGCCAGAACTTCAGCCAGAGCTCTGACCTGGGCGTCCAGCAGCATATTCATACCAAAGAGAAACCCTACAAGTGCTTCTTGGAATGTGGGAAGAGCTTCAAAAACAGCTCCAACCTCCTCATCCACCACCGGGTGCACACGAGGAACTGGCCCTATGAGTATAAGGAATGTGGGAAGAGCTTCAGCCAGAACTCCAGCCTGAGCTGCCACCAGAAGATCCACACGGGGAAATGGCCCTGAAGGAGTTTGGAATGTGGGAAGAGCTTCAGTGACTGCCCTCACCTCCTCTGCCACCAGAAGGTCCATACTGGGGAATGGCCAGTGCGTGTCCCAGGTGTGGGAAGAGCTTCAGCTAGAGCTCCCACCTCATCACCCAGAGCGATGCCTGGACCTCACACCAATGGTCCCGCTTGTAAGGGAAGGCCTGCAAGTGCCCTGACTGTGGGAAGAGCTTCTGTCCAACTTTATCACCCATCAGAGGACAAATATTGGATGATCCACAGTGACCCCCATTGGGCAGAGACCTGGTGGTTTACACTGGAAAAAGATATGTTGACCAATATTTCTGGTGAACCACATTGGGTGGTTCACCAGACCTGCTTACCCATGTTCCAAGTGATCCACATTGGGAATACATGTGGCTAACGGTGTCCATATTCTCCTTGTTCCCCACAGGAACCTTGATGAATGCAGAGGAAGGAACATCCATCAGAATGCAGACCAACACTGGAAATTCATTGGGAAGAGCAGTCTTGTTGACTTTAGACCCCAAAAAAAATCTCACCAGCAGCCACCATTAATTTCTTCAGGAGGCATCAAGAAAATGGGATGATCTTTGAGGTCTTTTGCAACAAAGAGGTCTTTTTAATTCCATTGTTCTAATTCTCTATGGCCCACAGGCATCTTCCACAGACAGGTGGTGATGGATTGGTACAAAGACCAAACTATTCAAATCAAAGGCTCCACTCAAACAACCCAGCAACAGAGATACTCACATGAGACCAATATGTAAATCCTTCTATTTGGACCTTCATTTTCTTTTGAGCCATTTTAATCTCTTACAAACAGATGAAATTTGGGTTAAAATAAAGTAATTAAACAAATATCTTCAAACCCCGCTATTTCAATTTGATTTCAAGGAGAATTTGGGATTTAGGGGGATAATCAGGAGGATTTGGGGATTTTTGTGGAGATTTGGGGTTGTTTTCCTCAAAAACAGGGGTGCTCATGCCAGGTGATTGGGGTCATGATCTCGTAGTTGTGCCAACAGTATGTGTCCCTGTACTGCAGTACCTGAGCCCATCTCCTCTCCAGTAATTCCAGCTGGGTGTTCCAGTACTGGGCCTGGGTGTTCCCATATGGAGTATCCCCTCTAAGTGCTCAAATCACTGTTGAAGTGCTAGAGCTGCTTTAGGTTATAGATGTTTTTGTCCATGAACCTCACCCACTCAGGGCTGTTCAGGAAGTGACACAGGGCTTTTCCCATCCACAGGAACACCACTGTGTGGGCAAGGAGGCAAGTTGGGGGACGCACCCCCCCTACCCCCACCACCCTACATCAGGTTGGAAGCTCAGGGGGCTACTCTGGACCCCCCTTTCCAGCCCCCACTCTGCCACGCGGCCGCTGCAGCACCAGCTGCTGTGTGAGGGGACGTCCCCTGTTTGCTCCCGAGGGATGGACAGGGGGATTGGGGCCCCTCCCGGTGTGGATCTCACCCCCCCCGGAGCCCCAGGAAACCGCTCCAGAGATCAAGCTCCCATTGGGAACCCTTTTCCCACTGTCCCACCCTCCCTTACGTGTCCTCTCAAACACCTTTCAGTTCCCCCCCCGACCTCAACCCTCAGCCGGGGGGACTCCCAGCAGCAGCAGTGCCCCTGCCCGCACTCCCCGGCCTCAGCTGCCCCCTCGGGGACAGCTTGGGGGGCCCGCCCTGGTGCCCTCCACGTGTTCCCTTCCCAAATTCTCCTGGTGGGGAGCGCCGGGGGTGGGGGTCACAGCGGGGTCCAGGTGAGGAGACAGAGCGCTGGGGGTCTGCCTGGGCACCGCCGAGTCACCAGCAGCAAGTGCTCTGCTCGGCTGGGCGCTGCCTGAGGGTGGGGCTGCAGCAAGGGGGGACACCCTGCTCCAGGGGGGATGTCCCAAAAACGGGGGACTCTCACAGGCCACTTCTAACCCCCCCCAGCAGGCTGACCCTGACTGGATGCAAGGTGCTGCCAAAACTGCTTTGTCCCTGCCCTCTGCAGCTGGACAGGGGAGAGAAAATAAAAGGAAAGGCGCAAGAATTGAGGTAAGGACCGGGAGGGATTGCTCCACAAACACTGTCACAGGCAAAACAGACTCACCCTGGGGAAAGGACCTCAATTTACTACCAACCAAATCAGAGCAGGATAATGAGAAGGAAAATAAAAACTCCTTCCCCCAGCCTTCCTCCTTTCCTGGGCTCTTCCTCCTCCCTCCAGCAGCACAGGGAGATGGGAATGGGTGTCACAGTCAGTTTATCACACCTTGTTCCTCCTGCTGTGCAGGGAGAGAAGTTTGGGAGTCCTTCCCCTGCCCCACCGTGGGTCCCCACAGGGCCCTGCATGGAGGCTGCTCCAGCACGGGCTTCCCACGGGCTCACATCCTTCCCTTCGGGCATCTCCTTGTTCCAGCGTAGGCTCCTCCAGGGGCTGCAGGAGAATCTCAGCTCCAGCACCTGGAGCAGCTCCTGCCCCTCCTGCACTGCCCTGGGTGTCTGCAGAGCTGTTCCTTTCACGTGTTCCCACTCTGCTCTTCTCTGGACCCAATTCCATCGGCACAAGAACTTTTCCCTTCTTTAACCCATTATCCCTGGGGTGTCACTGCCATCTCCTATGGGCTTGGTGTTGGCAAGTTATGGGTCCATCCAGAAGCTGGTGCTAGCTTTGCTGGACATGGGGAAATTTCTGGCAGCTTCTCACAAAAGCCACCCGTGTATCCCCCTACTTCCAAAATCTGGCCACACAAACCCAGTACATGGCCCACCTGGAACACGGATCACCAGGTCTCGGCCCAGTGAGGGTCACTGTGAATCATCCAGTGTGGGTCCTCTGATGGGTGATGAAGTTGGAGCAGCAGACAAAGCTCTTCCCACAGTCAGGGCATTCACAGGGTGTTGTGCGGCGCCCACAATGAGCCTCTGTTAAGGACCTGCACTCCCACAGCCCAGAGCAGGCTTGCTTAAACTGCTGACAAACAAGGCCAGAGACGGGTCTTTGTGTGGAGCTCCAAACCTGGTTTATTGCAATGAGGAGGGTCCAGGGACAGAGGGCTGAGGACAGGGTTTTACATGAGGGGGAAAAGAGGCAGATCTGAGCGCCAAGGGCCGATGGGAACTGAATACAAACAACGCAGAGGAGGGGCAGCCAACTGGGGAACCAACGAGGTAACAGGGGTAGAGCATTGCAGCAAACCAGGACCAACAGGGGACAAGAGAGGGGAGAACATTCTAGGGGGAGTACATACAAGGAAAAAATGGCAGTTGAACCGGGTGATACCAATAAAGCTTGCTGCATTAACAGGAGCCTGCAAATGCTTATGGGTGAGACCACTGAATTCAGAGGGCTGTCTCTCTTTGACCCTCGCCACCTTTGCCCTCCCAGGGCTGAGGTATTACAGCTCCAACGGTGGCCCCCGGGCCTCCACAGCAGGGCTTCCCTTACAAGTGGGACTGTTGGTGTTGGGTCAAGCCAGAGCTGCTGCAGAAGCTCTTCCCACACTCAGGACACTTGTAGGGTCTCTCCCCGGTGTGGGTGCGCCGGTGCAGGGTGAGGTGGGAGTTGCGTTTGAAGCCCTTCCCGCAGTCGGGGCAGCGGAAGGGCCTCTCGTCCGTGTGAATCCGCTCATGTAGGAGGACATGGGAGCTGGTCCGAAATCTCTTTGCACACTTAGGACACTCATAGGGCCGTTCTCCACTGTGGATCTTCTGGTGGTGGATCAGGTCAGAGCTGGTGCTGAAGCTCTTCCCACACTCCCCACACTCGTAGGGCCGTTCCCTGGAGTGCAGGCGCTGGTGGGTGAGGAGGTTGGAGCGGTCATTGAAGCTTTTCCCACATTCCTTGCAATTGTAGGGCCGTTCCCCTGTGTGAATTACCTGATGGCGGATCAGACAGGAGCTCCTGCTGAAGCTCTTCCCACATTCCAAGCATTCATAGGGGCGTTCCCCTGTGTGGATCATCCGGTGGCGGAGGAGGTGGAAGCTCCGGCTGAAGCCCTTTCCACATTCCAAGCATTTGTAGGACTTCTCCCCCACTTGAGGCTTCTTCATCAGCTCTGAGTTCCAGCTGAAGCTCTGGCTGCCTTCCTGGCACAGGGGGTCTCTCTCCTCCTTGGAGCATCCTGGGCTGGGTTTGCAGGCCCTCCTTGTGCGGGATCTCTGGGGCTTCTCTTCCCCACTGGCTTCCTGCGCTGTGGAGGCACTCAAAACAGCCTCTTCCTCAGTGTTCTGCCAGGGGGGTTTCTCCTCCTTGATCTCTGCCTTCAGCTCATAGCCTGGGGGAGGAAGGACAAAGAGATTCCCCCAATCTGTGCCCGGCAGGACGGGCAGCAGGGTTGTCCTGCAGCTGGGGGCTGTGCTGGGCTGGGAGATGGAGCAGAAATGAGGGGAAAATGGGAAGTGACTTCCTCACCTGCCTGGCTGTCCCAGAGCATCTTCCTCTTCCTTGCAGCCTCCTCCTCCATTCAGCCAAGTCTTAGGAATGACAAATCCTGGTTTTGGGGGAAAACAATGTGTGAGTGTGCTGAGCTGGAGGTTCCTCCTGCCCAAGTCCATCTCTAGAAGTCACTAGGTATCTTGTGTCCATGGAAACCTCTCAAAAACCATGATGCAGGAAAAAAACCCCTCCAAATTATTAAGATTCAGCAAAGGAGTCCTCCAAGCTTCCCCCCTCTCTGGTCTCTCCATTTTGGGGCCCTGGAGGTCTTCGCTCTCCTGGGACAGCCTGGTTCCAGCAACCTTTGCTTAGGGTTGCTGGAAGTTTAGGGGTCCCTACTCCTCTGAGTCTCTGTTTCGAGCGCTGGGGGTCCCAGGGTTCCCGCTCCTCAGGCTCGCCCCACTCCAGGATGCCGGGGGCGTCCCCCCTCCCATTCCCCCGTTTCAGGGTCGACGCAATCCTGCCCTCCCCATTAACTCCGTGCTTCCTCCTGTCTAGTCTGCCGGGGTATTCCCAACAGGTATCGCCTCTCTCCGGCCTCCCAGGCCAGGAGCAGCCAGGACCGGTGTCCCCTGCTCCCGCCGGGCGATCTCCAGCTGGCGTGCGGGACCCCGCATCCTCCCCGCCGCAGCCTGGGCTCTGCAGGGCCGGGATCCCCCCTCGAACACAACAACTCCCGGGGACACACAAATATCTGGGGTAAGTCCCCCCTCCCCGGTCACCTGTGGGATGCCGGGGCAGATGCTCCGCGGGCCGGGAGGGCTGCGGGCGCAGGGCGCAGTGGACTCGCGAATTTCCTCCTCTTCCTGCCACTTCTTCTTCTTCTCCTTTGCGGAAGATCAGACAGCTACAGAAGCTGACCTCCTGGTCCCGGTACATAAACTCAAAGCAAGAACAAAAATGAACACCGCTTTTCCTCGTCGTCCTTCTGCCTCTCCTCCTTTTCCGGCTCCTGCTCCTCCTCTTCCTCTCCCCTTGCGCTCCCCGCTTTCCGCTCGCCCGGCTGCGGGTGGGACGGGCCGGGACAGCGTGGACAGGGAGGAAGGGAGAAGATGGCCGAGGAGGTGGGTCAGCCCCGAACCGAGATGGAGGGAGCTGGGATTTGGGGGGAAAGAAGTGGGAGAGGGAAGATGAAGGGAGGCGGCGCAGCGGGAAGGTGGTTCCCGAAGGGGTCCCGTCACATCTCCCTTCACGTAATCCCTGGAGGGGTTCCCTGCGGCTCTGGGGGAAGCGGATCCTCACTGGGGGGTTCCCCCTGTGGGAATCCATAGGATTAGAGGATTTTAGGAGAGCTGGGAAAAAGAAAGGCCTCCGACAGCAAGGATAGTGAAATGCTAAAGCAGCAGAAAAGATATATCGGCAGTAGCGAAGACGGGAGAAATAGAACAATAAAGCTGTGTAGTTTGGCTTTCTAAGTTGCAAAAGGTATATTTTAGTAAATATTTAGAAGGTTAAATATGAATGGGGCTCTGTGCTTTGTCTTTTATGAACGAACCATTGCATGAGAGAAAAAGCTGCTATTGTTTTAACCAAAGCTAGGTGTGCTTCATGTGGTTGGATAGAACTACTGTCAGTATGGTTTTGTTCTATGGAATTGGCTGAAACTGGGTCTGAAACTATCTTATATAGTTATAACTATCTTATAACTATCTTATATATCTTATACTGTGTTGTAACATTAAGTTTCCTCGGGCTGCTGTCTGGATAGCGAGCTGCTCGCATCAATCATTGTCACAGCCATGTAATGAGACTGATGCTTCTTAAATAAACAGCTCAGGACATTATTCAGGTGTGGTCCCGTTCTGTTCGTGTCTGTATATAAACTGCCGGCGTCACCCCCCACCCAGCCCCGGTGGGGGTGGGAAACGGGGGTCCAGCTTGGCCTCCCGAGCTTCCAGTGGGCTGTGGGGTGCTGGAAGTTGCTGTGGCGGGGGGCACACCACGACCTGTGTCCCTGCCCACAGAGGGGTGTTCCAGCAGACGGGAAAGGCCAAGTGCCACTTCCAGAACGGCATTCCGGAGTGGAGCTGGACAGGAGCAGCTCAGACACGCCGTTGGAAAGCCGCTCTGCATCATCATGTGCTGATTCTCGTCTACCTCTGACTCCGCTCCGGGCTCTGGAAATTCTCTTCTTCCGTCTGCATTCATCACCCACCAGCACCGGCACACGGGGAGCAGCCTTACAAGTGTGAGGGATGTGGGAAGAGGGTTCAGAACATCTCAGATCTCATGAAACATCAGTGGACACACTCGGGAAAATCTCTCCCCAGCCCCCGCTCCTGTCAAGCCACACCACAATCTGAGAAATACTTGTTCAGGCCTTGGCCTTGACAAGCTGCCCCTGGGCTTAGCTCCTCTTGAGTTTATCACCAACATTGTCTGTTCCAGGAGCTGGTGCTGCCCAACGAGCTCCAACAGCCTTGGAAACTCTTTTTTCTTTTGCCTGAATAACATCCCAAATGGGATCATATTTTTGGTCTCAACCTTTCCCAGAAAGTCACCAACCTGAGCTGGGGCTAGGATGAAAAATGTCTGAGACTAAAGCCCATCCCTTGGGCCCCATAAACAGCAGCCCTGAGTGAGACCCTTGGAACTCTCCTGGGCTGCAGCAGCTGCGGCAGCAGCTGGGAACTCTCCCGTTTTCTGCACTTGGGGCATCCCCAAATGGTCTGGGCTGAGCCCCCCACTCCTCGAGGCTCTGCCCTGCACCTGGTGGGAAGATGCAAAGGCAACTGAAGGGAGAATCCCACTGGATTCCAGGGGAATTCCCCACAGGGACCTCGTGCAGACTCCTTCTGTCCATACGTGTGTGACGCTGAATATGCCATAGCAAATGTCCTGGGAATGCCACTCTCCTGGAGTCGGAAGTACTTAAGAGATGTAAGTCAGTCAGGCCTGTGGGTATGTTCCTGTTGTGGTGTAATAAATTCTATGTGAAGTTACTGATTAAGTTTCAGTTAAGTTTAAGTTAAGTGCTATTGGGCCTTTAAGCATAAACTGCTGAAATCCAGGCTCAGTTCTGCACAGGTGTCTACTCTGACCCTTGTGACTCAACAGTGGGGTCTTCCATATTCCTTTTTATCCTTACCCTTTATTGTTTTTTTTCCCTCACCCCTTCCTCCCCCAGAACCTCCTGAGGTACATAAATAGTTTTGGGTTTATTTCAGTTTGGATTGATTGATTTTGGATTTTTGTTTCCTTTTTCTTGGTGTGCTTTAGCCAGGTAATCTTCCCCTCCTCTCTCCCTCCTTCTCCTCCTCCTCCATCCCTCCTCTTCTCCCCAGGACCAGCACCCACCCTTGGCCTCCCAAAGCCACAGCATCCCACCGCAGGGGCAGGGATGGAGCTGGGGCAGCGCTGGGCTCTCGGCCTCTCCTGCCCACACTCGGTCCCCACTGCAGCTGCCACTGCCAGGACAGTGGTGGGGGGCCCAGGCTGGATGCCCTCCATCTTCCCCCTCATCAAATTCCCCTCCTGGCGGGTGCTGAAGGTGAGGGGGGGTTCAGGTGGGGAATGTTGGGTGCTGCGGGTCTGCCTGGCAGCTGGTGAGTCACCAGCCAAACCCCTGCAGAAGTGGGGGATACCCTGCAACCCCTTCAGGAACGGCGTCCCCCCGGCCCCACCATCCTCAGCCTTCATCTGTCTCATTTCAGACCCCATCTGACTCCTCCTAATCCCCATCCCACCCCTCCCAATTCACATGCCACTTCTCCCAAATCCCATCTCACCCCTCCCAATCCCTATCCCATCTGCCCCAGTCCATATCCCACTCCTCTCAATTCATATCCCACCCCTCCCTATCCCCTTTCTTCCCCTCCACGGTCTGGAGCGCTGTGGTATTGAATATTTTTGGGATGGTACTGAGTCATTTTGAGGTGGGATCGAGGCATTTTAGGCTGGAATGGAGAGTGGCATTGAGTGGTTTTTGAGTGATGGATAGAACCCCTCACTTTTTGGGGTGCAGAGTAATGGAGGAAACTCCTGCAAATTCCCTCAAAAACCCCAAATCCTCCTGAATATCCCCCAGACTACAAATTCCCCCCCAGTCCCTGTAAAATGGTGGGGTTTTACACATGTTTGATGAGGTTCTTTATTTTTACCCAGTTTTGGGTGTTTTTAAAGGATAGATCACAAGAAAATCAAGGCCAAAATTAAAGAAGTTACGTGTCAGCATTGTTTGAGTATCCATGGGGTCGGATTGGGTGGGGTGGGTGAAAGAGCCTTTTTTGGAGGGGTTCCCACAAAATTGTCTCCAAAATCTTGGTCTCTGCCAGTGCTGGATTACCATGTCTGTGACCAGCTTGAATCACCAGGCTGATTGAAGTCCAAACGTGGTCACCACAGATAACACAATGTAGGTTCTCTAATAGGTGAACTTGGAGCAGTGAAGAAAGCTCTTCCTGCAGGCAGGGCACTCGCAGGACGTCCCTTACCTGTGGGACTGTTGGTGTTGGGTCAAGGCAGAGCTGCAGGAGAAGCGCCTCCCACACTTGGGACACTCTTAGAGCCTCCTCCTGGTGTGGATGTTCTGGTGGCAGATCAGGTTGGAACAGTCACTAAACCTCTTCCCACATTCCCTGCACATGTAGGGCTGTTCCCCAGTGTGGATGGATGCTCTGGTGGCAGACCAGGCAGGTGCCTCACCTGAAGCTCTTCCTGCATTCCCCCTGCACATGTGGGGCCATTCCCTAGCGTGGACCTTCCGGTGGTAGATCAGATGGAAGCAGAGGCTGAATCTCTTTCTGCATTCCAAGTACGGGTAGGGCCGTTCCCCGTGTGGATCTCCTGGTGGCAGCTCAGGCTGGAGTTCTGGCTGAAGCTCTTCCCACATTCCTCTCACTCATAGGGGCAGTTCCCCAAGTGCACCCAGTGGTGGATGAGGAGGTTGGAGCTGTTGCTGAAGCTCTTCCCACATTCCAAGAAGCCCTTGTAGGGTTTCTCCCCATCGTGAAGCTGCTGGTCAACCACCAGCTCAGAGTTGAGCTGCCTTCCTGGCTCAGGGGGGCTCTTTCCTCCTCAGAGCACCCTGGGCGGGGTTTGCAGGCCCTCCTTGTGGGGCATCTCCAAGGCTTTTCCTCCCTGTTGACTTCTTGTGCTGTGGAGCCACTAAAAATTGTGTTTTTCATAAGGTTCTGCCACAGGAACTTGTTCTCTTGGGTCTCCGTCCACAGCTCAGTGCCTGGGGGAGGAAGGAGAAGGGAAGGGGAAGGAGATCCCCCCAGTCTGTGCCCGCAGGATGTCCTGCAGCTGGGGGCTGTGCTGGGCTAGGAGATGGAGCAGGAGAGAGGGGAACGGGGCAGTGACTTCCTCACCTGCCTGGGTATCCTGGAGTATCTTCCCCACAGTCTTCTCCATGCAGCCAAGGCTTGGGAATGACAAAGTCTGTTTTGGGTGAAAAAAAATCAAGGTATGAGCTCATTAGGTTGGGGTTCCTCCTACCCCAGTCCATCTCATATATATCTATATGGTCATCTTGTATATCTAAAAGCCTCAGAAACATGAAGACTCAGTGTCAAAAACCCTCATAGGAGTTCTACCTTTCTAGTTGCCTCTTTCTGGGGTTCTGGAGGTGCCCCTTCACTGGGCTGCTGGGGGTCCCATGGGTTCTGGGCTTCCCCTCTTCTTGGGTGTTGTTTAGAGATGTGTGAGGCATCCCAGGGGTTCTTTCTCCCCTAACTCCCTACTTAGGCATGTCTGGGGTCCCAGGGGTCTCCCTGATAAGAGAAATGGGTCTTAATGTCTTCACAAAAGACTAGGTCTGAAAGAACCAATCAGGTTCTGAAAGAAGGTGTGTGAAGGTCTTCATGAACATCAAACTATGCCTTTGTAGCAGAACCCAGACAGTTTGAACTTCTGAGCTTCTGGGGAATATGCAGTAGGTGGTTTGGGAAGGCTCTACCTGAGGAAATGGGGAAGCAAAGAGGGAAATACGCAGCCAAAAGTTTATGATAAAAGGAGGTTGCATCCTCCTTTTATGAGGAGAGTCCCCACAGGGGTGTGCCCCAGTGGACTCTCTCCCTTCGTTCAAATAAGGTTGCAGGGCTCCTCTGTCTTCTTTGTGAGCACTGGCTCTTCACAGGTGATTTTTCCACACACCTGTCTCCAGGCTCCCCCCTCTCCAGGCTGACAGGTTATGGCTCCTCCGTTGCCCGCTCTGTTCTCCCCTCTCTGCTCCAGACTGCTGGGGATTCTGCCTCCTCCGTGCCCTCATTTTGGGGTCCCAGGGTTCTCCCCCTTGGCTGGCCCACGCTGCCGGCACCAGGCCATCGCCATCCAGCTCCGGGATCCCGCATTCCCCCGCCCTCCGCCACCGGGACACCCCCAAAAAACCCCACCTGTAGGGAATGCCCCGAGGTGTTCAGGGCGAGCTCAGCTGCAGAACGCTGCGGGGAAGGAGACGATGCCCCCGGGGGCGGTACAGTGAGCGATGGACCCCCTTCTCCTCCGTTTTCATCCCTCCTCTTCCTGCTCCTCCTGGTCTTGCTCCTGCTCCTCCGCCGTGGCCGCCCTTTCTCCCCCTCTGCACCACGGCTGCCCTAAGCTAACCCTAACCCCCCGACAGCCCTGGCTGCGGAATGGGGTGACCCCCCAACCCCCCCAATCACCTCCGCAGGGATTGACCGGGAGCTTCAGCCAGAGCTCTGACCTGGGAGTCCGGCAGTAGCTTCATGACAGAGAGAAGCCCTACTCCCTGCCTGGAGTGTGGGAAGAGCTTCAGCTGGAGCTCCCACCTGGTCCGCCACCAGAAGATCCACACTGGGGAACGGCCCTACGCGTGTTTGGAATGTGGGAAGAGCTTCAATGATGTCTCCACCTTCCTCTCCCACCAGCAGCTGCACGCTGGGGAACGTGCCCACAAGTGTGGGCAATGTGGGAAGACTTTCAGCCAGAGTTCCGAACTCCTCACCCACCAGTGACTATGGCAAGAGGTTTTGGAATGGCTCCCATCTCATCAGGCATCAGGGGACACACACCAGGGAGAGGCCCTACAAGTGTCCCGAATGTAGGAAAAGATTCAGCCGGAGCTTTGCCTTGACAAGACACCAACAGACCCAGCAGTAAGGGAAGCCCTACAAGTGCCATGACTGCAGGAAGAGCTTGAGTTGAAACTCCAAGCTTATCATCCACCAGCACCTGCACACTGGGGAGAAGCCGTAACAAGCGCTTGGAATGTCAGAAGAGCTTCAGCTGGAGTTGCAGCCTTATCACCCACCAACATCTGCACACTTGGGGACAGCCCTACAGCTGTGGGGAATGCAGGAACAGCTTTAGATGGAGCTCTTGCTTGATTTACTACCAGAGGATCCACATAAGAGAACCACCCTACCAGTGTGAGGAATGTGGGAAGAGTTTCACTGATGTCTCCAGCCTCATCACTCACCAGTGCCTGCACACTTGGGAATGGCCCTACAAGTGTCAGGAATTGGGAAGAGCCTTATCATCATCTACTACCTGATCCGCCACCAGAAGATCCATATTGGGGAACAGCCTTACGAGTGTCCCGAGTGTGGGAAGAGGTTTCAGAATAGCTGAAATCTCATCAGGGATGCACACAGAGTAGAGGCCTTTCCACTGTACCAGCTGCAGGAAGAGCTTCAGCTATAGCTTCAATCTCATCACCCACCAGGACATCCACAGCTGGGTGAAACCCTGTGAGTGTTGGGAGTATGGGAGAAGCTTCTGCAGGTCTGCCTTGACCTCACACTGCACCCATCAATAAAGGGTGAGCACCCCAGCAGGGAGGAGGGCGGAAGACCTTGTTTTTTGCTCCAGCTTCTTCACCCTTTGGAGGACACACATTGGATGATCCACATTGTGCAGAGACCTGATGATCCATATGCAGAGCTGGGATGCATTCAAGAAGCAGCTGTTTTTTTGAGGCCTGTGATGAACAGGGATAATTTGAGGAATGGGATGTTCCCCAAGTGACCACCAGAGACCCTTAAATGACGCCAACTCTAATGTAAAGGAGTTCCAAGATGTGATTTAAATATGTAAAAGAATTTGAGGGGAATGTTTAGCATATGAGTTTGGGAAATGTATTAATATGTATTAGTTACATAAATACAAACAAATATGAGAAATAGCTGAGTGTGTGTAATAGGGGGAGTCATACCCTGCACACACCTAGCACTGAAATAAAGCTGCTTTCTAATAGTGAAATTACATGGTTAAAGAGTTTAATTCCTGTTTTCAGTGACATTTTCTTGTTACCAGCCCCAGCCCCACACACAATCCCCAGCTCCAAACAGGTGCTGGCATTCCAAAAACAGCCAGGCTGTGCAGTGGGGGGGTGTTCATGTCCCCACCTCGTACAGCTCTGGGAGCTCCGGTCCTTGAGGGGTATCCTTATTCCACGGAAGAATCTCCCCATCCCTCTCCCCCTACGAACTGGATATGTCAGGAGACTCTGCAGTTAAAATCTGGCATCGGGCTGTTACACTCTGAAGCCCTGCACTGTCAGTCAGATGTGCCCAGGCCGCTGTGCCAGCTCAGCAGCTTCGGAGAAGTTATCACTTATCACTTGGTTGTTCCTTTATCCTGCTATTTTAACAGATCTCCTGTATCTTATCTCACTGTCATTCAACGCCAAAACCAGTGGAAACCGCCTTCATTTACCGCTGGCATGTTTGCAAACAGGGCATTGTTCGTGTTGTTTGACCCCATTCAGGCAGAGTATACCGGTACTGGACTCCCACTGTCCCACCCCCAATTTTCCTCATTCTCCCATTCATTTCCCATAGTCCCTTCAATCCCCAGCTCCCCTACAGCTTAGTTTCAGGGTGTGTCCCCCTGGCCCGGTATTGGGAACTCAGCCCCTTCACACTCAGTTTGGAAGTCAAAAGATCCTCTTCTCCACCCTCTCACACTCCCTTCTCATCATACCTCTAATCTCCAGGTTTCCCCAGAACTTGGTTTGGGGCTGCCACCTACCTCCCACTAAATTTGGGGGGTTGATGTGCCCCTTTCACTGAGTTCTGTAGATTCCATATCTCTCCCACTCCATTTATGGGTCCCAGACCAAACTTTCCACCTCTTTCCCACTGCCCTCAGATCCCCAGCCCACCATTCCCTGCTCTGGGTGTGGGGAGGTCCTACCCCACCCTTTTCCTGTCCTGGCCTGTCCTGGATTAGGACAAATCTGGGAGAAAACCTGCAAAGGGGCCCTCTCCCAGAAAACAAACCCACACAGCCCCTTCCCCCCACCGGTTCGGGAAGGATTTCTCGGAGAGAAGTGGAAAGAACCCGTTTATTTAACAAGAAAAACATCCCCAGCACGCAAAATGAACAATACCAGATGACAACACTTTCACCGATCTGAAAAGGATGACAAATTCAGAAAGTCTTTCCTGGGAGTTGCTCCCTCCGGCGCTGGGGATGGCTGCTGCAGCTACAATATGTAAATTTTTGGTGTTTTTTAGGTCTTAGTCCGGAGCAGGTTGGAGTGGTTCCAAAAAGGGAAAGGAAAAACAGGGAAAAATCTGCACCACTTAGCTAAACTAACTAACAAGCAGAAGCAAAAAGCAAACGCAAAGCAGGAGCACAGCAAAAAGCAAGAGCAAAGCCAAAAGCAAAAGCTGCACTATGTACTGTCCCATCTCTCTGTCCCGCCAGCCGTGGGGGAGCAGGCTGATAACAAACCAAAACAAACCTTGCTCTTCAGAGCCAGTCTTAGGCACAGAAAATAATATCCAGCACCAACAGAACAGCGGATTGGGGATACAAGCATCATAACCTCACCCTAGGACATGGCCTCACTGCTTCCCATTGTCCCCCTCCCTGCTTCCCCCCTTCCACCCGCCTCCCGCCCCCCGGCCCCGTTCACCCGAGCGCTCCGCGCCCCCAGCCGGGTGTTATAAATGAGAAGCTTGACTAGGCCAGTATTCAAGCAGCAAACAATTTATTAATTAATATGGTAAAGTATGAGCAATACAGTGCTGGGTACAGCGGGGGAAGTTTTCCCTCCAACTGCACACCGATGGTTGAGGCTTACAGGTATTTATAGGGGTGCTCATAAGCTTTCTCAGCAATTTCTATTTCCACTTTTTACTCCTGAGCAATTTTTATTCTCAATTTTTATGTCACAATTCTATACACTATTGTGAGTTAGTTTTTCTCAGGATGTACCCCAGAAAGGAGTATCCCCAGATGGTGGTGTCTGGCTTCCGAAAGAAGAAAGAGGTCTTCCAGCTGGTGAGGTCCAGATTCCAGATGTGGGTCCACCTTTTAATTGCAAGGACTATAAATCTCATAACAGTGATGTCCAGCTTCCCTTGGTGGAAACTATTAGTCCTTGAGTTGATGCTCATCTTCCTTTCTCAAGCTGCTTTTCCCTGTTTTGTTAAGGCATTGGGATAAACATGTTTCCTTTTTATATATTCTAAAGCTATCGTTTCAAAGATCCTAACTACAAACAATATTCTGAAACTATACTTCAAAAGGTTATTATTGCAAAACTCCTTTTAGCTAGAAGCAGAAAGTTCCTATGAAACAGCAACATCCTTCAAGCTTTAATTCAAATGTTCCCAAATCAACTTAAGACTTATAAAGGTTAATTGCGAACAAAGGATAGGTTTAAAGGCCTTCTTCCACGCTTTACTTCCTCAGTTATTTATTAGAATTCGTGTTTACAACTGTCCCACGGTCAGTTTGCACACATATCACAATCACAGACATACAGGTTGCCTGTATGTACCTGACATGAAGCACAGCTTGGTATTTCTCACGGGGAGCTCCCAGTGCTCCCCAGCTGTGCCATCCCAGCTGTGCCATCCCAGCTGTGCCATCGGCCGTGCCCGGGCTCTGCGGGGACAGATCCGGCCGGGGTGCCCCCCCCATCTCCCCCGTCCCCAAATTCCCCTGGCGGGGGTCGCTGGGGCCCAGGGGGGCTGCAGGTGGGCAATATACTGCTCATTTTCGGGGGCAGCAAGGGGACACACTCTGCTCCAGGGGGGTGTCCTGCAATCGGGGCACCCCCACAAGCCGGTTATAACCCCTCAGCCATCAGAGGAACCATGGGGTCCCCCCAACCTCCCAAAATGAGGGCAAGGCGCCCCCACAAGCCATTTATAACCCTGGAAATTGGCAGAAAACAGCAAGGTCCTCTCAAATGGGGTCATCTCACCCTCCCATAATGAGGGGGAATCACCGCAGCCCCCGAGAATAGCGGGGAGTCACCTCAGCCCCCGAAAATGAGCAGTACATTCCCAAAAGCCGTTCGTAACACCTCAAAAGTAGCAGGAAGCAACAGGGTCCTCCCCAAAACAGGCTCCCTGTACAGCTCACTTTTCCAAGTGCCAGAGCCACATGTCTCTCCCACCACACCCCCGCCTCAGGATTCTGGGTACCCCAAAAACTTGCTTAGGAAGGGGGGTGCCCAAAAATCCCCTCAGGAATGGGGAATATCTCAAAATCTCTTCAGGAATGGCAGATATCCCCAAAACTCCACAGATTTGGGGGATACCCTGAAACACCTTTGGGGACGTGGTCCCCCATCCTTAACATCCCCTATCTTTTGCTATCTTATTCCAGATCCCTTCCCACCCCCCCAAAATTCATTCCAGCCCCTAACCTATATCCCACCACTCCCAATCCCAATCCCACCCCTCCCAGATATGAAGATCCCCTTTCCAAGCCCTATTTCCTCCATCCCATCCCACCCCTCCCAAACCCCATTCCTCTCTTCCAAACTCCATCCCACTTCTCCCCATCCACATCCCACTCCACCCCAAACCCCATCCCAACCCTCCCAATTCACATCCCACCTCTCCCAATCCCCATCACACCCCATCCCACCCCTCCTGGGGGTTTTGAGGGTTCTGTGGGATCACATAATTTCTGGGGTGGAATTGAGCCATTTTGAGGTGGAATCATGCCCTTAAGGGGTGGAGCTGAGCTATTTTAGGTTGGGATTTAGCCATTTTGGGATTGATCCCTCTTGGATGCGGACTGCAAAACAATGGAGAAAACTCCCACACTTCTCCAAATATCCCCTAGAATCCCAAAATCTCAGTAAAATGCTGGCAGTTCAGAGGTTTTTATTCCATTTTTTTTACCTTAACCTTGGGTGTTTTTAAGGGATAAACAGGAATAAAAAAAAAATCAAGGCCAAAAGAAAAAGATTTACATGTCAGCATCTGTGAGTGTCCATGGAGTTGGCTTGGGTGGGTGGAAGAGCCTTTTTAGAGGGGTTTCTACCGCATTGTGTTCAAAATTTTGGTCTTTGCCCCATTCCATCACCATTTGGCTGTGCAACACACCCATGGGCCAGAGAGAATTAGAATCATGGAATTATTTAGGTTGGAAATGACCTTAAAGACCATCCAGTGTTGCTTGATACCAGAAGAAGAAATGACTGGATGTAGCGGATGAAATTTTTTAGGGTCTAAGGTCAACAAATCTGCTCTTCCCAATGAATTTCCAACATCAGTTTGTGTCCCAATGGATGTTCTTGCCCCTGTGTTCATCCAGGTGCCTATGGGGAACCAGGAGGATGTTGAGACCACAAGCCAGGTGTCTTCCAACGTGGATCACCAGGAACAGGGATCACCAGGACTCTGCCCGACACGGATCGTCCAATGCTCTTCCCGCAGCTGGAGCACTTGTAGGGCTTCTCTTACCAGTGGGTCCGTTGGTGTGAGGACAAAGCAGAACTCTGGGTGAAGCTCTTCCCACACTTCAAGCACCTGTAGGGCCTCTCCCCAGTGTGGACGCGCCAGTGCTTGACCAGGTCGGAGCTGCGGATGAAGCCCTTCCCGCAGTCGGTGCAGCGGAAGGGCCGCTCCTCCGTGTGCATCCGCTGATGCAGGAGGAGATCGGAGCTGGTCTGAAACCTCTTCCCACACTGGGGACACTCGTAGGGCCGTTCCCCGGTGTGGACGCGCTGGTGGATGACGAGGCTGAAGCTGCGGTTGAAGCTCTTCCCGCATTCCATGCAGTTGTATGGCCGTTCCCCGGTGTGCAGCCGGCGGTGGCTGATGAGGTGGGAGCTCTGGATAAAGCCCTTCCCACACTCCAAGCAAATATGTGGCCGTTCCCCAGTGTGGAAGCGCTGGTGGTATGTCAGGCTGGACCTCTTGCTGAAGCTCTTCCCACATTCCAAGCACTTGTAGGGGCGTTCCCCTGTGTGAAGGCGCTGGTGGACCACCAGGTCAGAGCTCTGGCTGAAGCTCTTCCCACACTCCCCACACTCGTAGGGCCGTTCCCCAGTGTGAATCTTCTGGTGGCGGATCAGGTGAGAGCTCCAGCTGAAGCTCTTCCCACACTCCAAGCACTTGTAGGGCTTCTCCCTGCCATGAAGCTGCTCATGGACCACCATCTCTGAGCTCTGGCTGAAGCTCTGGCTGTCTTCCTGGCACAGGGTAGATCTTTCCTCCTCAGAGCTCCCTGGGCTGGGTTTGAAGTCGTGCCTCATGGGGGATCTCCGGGGCTTTTCCTCCTTGCTGACTTCCTGTGCCGTGGAGCTGCTTAAAACAGCCTCTTCCACAAGGTTCTGACATGGGGATTTGTCTTCCCTCCTCTCTGTGTGCAGGTCATTCCCTGGGGGAGGAGGGAAGAAGGAGAGGAAGGGAAAGGAGAGGAAGGAAGAAGGAGACAGAAGAAAAAGGAATGAGTGAGTCAAAGGAACAAGGAGAGGAGGGATTGAGGAGAGATAGGAAGGAAGAAGGAGCAGGAACAGGGAGAGGAAGGAAGTGAGGAAGGCAGAAGAAGGAAGAAGGGGAGGAATGAAAAAGGAGGAGGAAGAAGAAGAAGGAACAAAGAAGGGGAAGAAGGAGAAAGGAGAGGAAGGAATGAGGAAAAGGAAGTAAGAGGAAGGAGCATAAAAAAAAAGGAGGAAGGAGAGACAGGAAAGAGAAGGAACAAGGAAAAGAAGGAAGAAGGAACAAGGAGAGGAAGGAAAAAGCAGAAGAAAAGGGAGGGAGAAACAAGGAGAAGGGAGAAGGAAGAAGGAAGGGGAGGAAGGAGATCTGCCTCTGTACCAGAGGGAAGGGGAAGGACATCCCCCCAAATTCATACCCAGCAGGACAGCTGGGGTTGTCCGGCAGCCAGGGACGATGCTGGGCTGGAAGCTGAGGCAGAAGAGTGAGGGAAAGGGGCAGTGATTTCCTCCTCACCTGCCTGGGTGTCCCAGAGCATCTTCCTCTTCCTTGCAGCCTCCTCTTCCATCTGGCCAAAGTTAGGGAATGATAAATCCTGGTTTTGGCAGAAAAAACAAGATGTGAGTGTGCTGGATTGGAGACTCCTCCTGCCAAATCCATCTCTAGAAGTCACTGGGCATCTTGCCTCTATAAAAGCCCCCAAAACACTAAGACACAGCCCCTAAAACCCCAAGATTCAGCCAAAAACCCCTCTAAAATAGAAAATTCAACCAGAAAAACTACAAACGGCCAAGATTTAGCCCAAAAAAACAATAAAAATACCAAGATTCAATCCCTAAAAACTTCACAAGATCAAGATTCTGCCAGAGAAAAATCTCCCAGGAGGTCCCCCTCTCTGGTCTCTCCACTTTGGTGTTTCAATGGCCCCCCTTCTCCAGGCTGCTGGGGTTCCTCTGTGTGTAGGGGATCCTCATTCCGGGATGCCAGGGGTCCCGAGAATCCCAGAGGTCTCCCCACTTTGAGGCTCTGGTGGTCGCTCTTCTCTGGGCTGCTGGGGGTCCACTGAGTCATGTCCTCCCCACCTCCTCAGGGATACCACGGATTTTGGAAGTCCTGTGGGTGTTCTCTCCTCTCACCATCTGCTTCAAGACACTGGGCGTTCCCGAGTTCCCCCCCACCCTGGGTTTCCCACTTTGGCGTTCCTTGGGGAAACCCTCTCCAACCTATCCCCTTGCCCTGCCTGCCGGCGGTCCCCCCTCTCTGGATCCTCCGTTTCTGGCTCTCCTCTCCAGGTTTCTCCCTCTCCGTGCCCGATCCCTCTCCAGGCGGCTGGGGCTCCCCCAGCTCCAGCACCGCCTCTCTCCTGGCTCCCCCCACACCTCGGCTCTTTCGAGGGGCCCCAAAAGCGGTGTCCCATTCCCCTGCCAGGACCGGGCGATGACCACGAGGGCGGGCTAACAATGGAGGCGGCGGGCCCCGAGCAGAAAATCCAGCCCTCCTCCGCGGCTCCGGGCACCGGCATGCCGCGGCATCCCCCGGCATCCCCGCGGGGCTCTGCGGTCGGCCGCCACCGCGACCGCCCCGACAGAACCACCGCCCGGGGACCCTCCGCTACCCTCCTAAGGGGCATTTCCGGGTCAGCTTGGGATTCCCGGAAGATCCCAAGATCCCAGAAAAACTCCGCCAGGAGCCCCACAGGATATTTGCGGCGAGCTCCCCCTCCGCCGTCACCTGCGGGATGCGGAGGGCAGGACCGGCGCTCCCAGGGCGGGGGGCTGCAGCTACAACGAGCGGGGGGCTTGTGGCTCCTCCTTTTCCTGCTCCTGCCCCTCCTCCTGCCCCTCTTCCCTTCCTCTTTCCCGCCTCCTCCTCTTCCTCCTCGTCCCGCTGCTGCTTTTTCTAATGAATCCTTACTTTTCCTCGTCGTCTTTCATGCGTCCTCCCCCTGCTTCTCATTGTTCGTTCCTTCTTCTCCTCTTCCTCCTCCTCTTCCAGGCACCCTACCTGTGTGTGTAGACTGGGAATTGTTATAAATGAGAAGCTTGACTACGCCAATATTCAAGCAGCAATCAATTTATTAATTAATATGGTAAAGTATGAGCAATACAGCGCTGGGTACAGCAGGGGAAATTTTCCCTCCAACTGCACACCAATAGTTGGGGCTTTGAGGTATTTATAGGGGTGCTCATAAGCTTTCTCAGCAGTTTGTATTTCCATTTTTTATGTCACAATTCTATACACTATTGTGATTTAGTTTTTCTCAGGATGTATCCCAGAAAGGAGTATCTCCAGATGGTGGGGTCCGGCTTCCGAAAGAAGAAAGAAGTCTCCCAGCTGGTGAGGTCCAGATTCCAGATGTGGGTCCACTTTTTAATTGCAAGGACTATAAATCTCATAACAGTGATGTCCAGCTTCCCTTAGTTGAAACTATCAATCCTTGAGTTGATGTTTATCTTCCTTTCTCAAGCTGCTTTTCACTGTTTTGTTAAGGCATTGGGATAAACATGTTTCCTTTTTATATATTCTAAAGCTATAGTTTCAAAGATCCTTATTACAAGCAATATTCTAAAACTATACTTCAAAAAGTTATTATTGCAAAACTTTTTAGCTAGAAGCAGAAAGTTCCTGTCAAACAGCAACATCCTTCAAGCTTTAATTCAACTGCTCCTAAATCAACTTAAGACTTATAAAGGTTAATTGCGAACAAAGGATAGGTTCAAAGGCCTTCTTCCACGCTTTACTTCCTCAGTTATTTATTAGAATTCGTGTTTACAAGGCTGCTCCAGCATGGGCTTCCCACGGGCTCACATCCTTCCCTTCGGGCATCTCCTTGTTCCAGCGTAGGCTCCTCCAGGGGCTGCAGGAGAATCTCAGCTCCAGCACCTGGAGCAGCTCCTGCCCCTCCTGCACTGCCCTGGGTGTCTGCAGAGCTGTTCCTTTCACGTGTTCCCACTCTGCTCTTCTCTGGACCCAATTCCATTGGCACAAGAACTTTTCCCTTCTTGAATCCATTATCTCTGGGGTGTCACTGCCATCTCTGTTTGTCCCACCCTTGGCAGTGGTGTGTCTGTCCTGTTGGTTCTTCTGGACACAGGGATGCTTCTGGCAGCTTCTCACAAGAGCCACTCCTGTAGCCCCCCCGGCATCAAAACCTGGCCACACAAAGCCAACACAGGCACTAATGAAAGAACCCTGGAAGGTCCTTGCTTTCTCTTTGGGAACTGTTGGTCAGGTCACCCCTCATGTCACAGGTCCCACCTGGCCTGCCCCATTTGTCCAGCAAGGCAGAAAGAAAAGAGAGAAGAGAAAAGCAGGAGGTAGGAGAGAAGGAGGTAGAGAAAGAGCCAGAAAATGGGATCCTGGGAACAAAAGAAGGATGGGGAGATACACCAGGATGGCAAGAGAGACAGACAAATGGAGAGGGGTATCTGTAGTTACTGCAGGCTCTGTTTTTTGCACAGATGGAAACCTGGTGGCACCAAATTCTGCTGGTGGGCTCCTGCAGTGAATGTCAGTGCCTTTCCTTGGGAAGTGCAAGACCTGGGCCCATTGTTGCTGTGCAGGTGATGGCCACCCAGGGGAGGGAAAGACCAGCAACAGCTTTCTGTCCTGGGACCTTTTGTGTGGGAGCTTACTCAATTTTGGGAGGTGGGCTCAGGAGGAGGTAAGAGCAATCTCAATAACCCACCATCAAAATTAGGAGCCCAGCTCTGTGGTCAGCCTCAGAGCTGAGGCAGTCCATGCACAGGAGACACTCCAGGAATGCCCCTCCCCCCCCCACTGCCTCCTGCTCACCTGGTGCAGGTAGAGGAGTAGAGGAAGGATGATGAACCCAAGCATTAATCCCCCCACCCCTGTTGCCATCTGACTGCAGCTGCACCCTGAGCACCCCAGGGAACTGTTGGTAAGGGAGGATGTAATGGGGACCCCCTTCACACCATCTCATTCCCTCTTTTCCACCCTTCTCCTGTGCCTTTTCCATAGTACCTCCAAGCCCCCTGAACTCTGTTTGAGGTCCCAGCCCCCTCCCATTCCCCACACCATGGGTCTGAGCTCCCCTAAGAGCTCCTCACCCACACCTAGATGTGCTCCCAGTACCACCAGTACCACCAGTACCATGTACAGCCCCAGCTCCCAGGAAATGGAAAGCAAAGAGGTGACAGTCAACATGGCTTTGCAAAGAGGAAATCAAGCCTGACAAATTTGGTGACCTTCTGTGGCAGGCCTACAGCATTGGTGGATGGGGCAGAGCAACTGATGTTTTCTGTCTAAACTTATGCAAAGCGTTTGACACTGTCTCTCACAACATCATTGTCTCCAGTGTGGGAAGACATGGATTTGAGGAATGGAGCACTTGATTGATAAAGAGCTGTCTGGATGGCTGCATGTGAAGCATTGTGGTCAATGGCTCTTTGTCCACGGGGAGAGCAGTGACAAGTGGAGTCCATACTGTGGCCAATACTATTCAGCATCTATGTTGGTGATGTGGACAGAGAGATTGAGGCATCTGCAGCATGTTTGCTGATGACACTGAGCTGTGTGGTGCAGCACACACTGGAGGGAAGGGATGGGCCATAGAGGGCCCTTGACAGGCTTGAGAGGTGGAGCTGATGAAAACCTCATGAAGTTCAACAAAGCAAAGTGCAAGGCCCTACACCAGAGTCATGGCAATCCCAAACACACCAACAGGCTGCGTGGAGAAATGATCAAGAGTGACCCTGTGGAGAAAGACTTCGTGGTGATGTCAGATGCAAAAGTCAGCAGGTGCTGGCAGTGAGCAAGTGTTAAGCAACAGATGGCAAAATATCTGTTTGGGGGGGACTTCAGAGATCATTCCTTCCAAATAAGAAAGAAATGGAAAGTGAAGAGCAGTGTCAGCCACTACCTTCCAGGCATGTGGAGAATCCAGTCTACGTATTTTGACAAGTAATACCCTTGCAAGGACCTATGGTTTGCAGGACTCTTAAGCAGTAACAATGCTTTCGAGCATTTGCATAAATGTATCATTTCTCCTTCCTGAGATCAAATTCCTGTAGCTGGAGAGGAGAATAATCTGCATCTCACTCACTTATGTCCTACAGGTGAGCACCATGATATAGCTGGAAGCTTGTAATAAGAAAATATTTAAAAATAACAGGGTGACGTGGATGGCTGAAACAGGGTGGTCTGTGAAATTCATTAATCTCTCCTGTTCATGAATCACTAATCAGTAGAAACAGTGATCCTGTATTCCTTCATTTCCCTCCATCCTATGAACTAATTGGGACATAGAACTGTTAAATAGGGATTTAATCCAGACTGGAGAATTTATAAGTTATTTATTATTGTATACAGTGGATCAGATAAACTGATAATGCAGCCAGCATGTCAGGGTGGAGAAGAAAAAGGTTATTACTCAGAAGTTAAGTGCTCCAGCAGTGCTCAGGTGATAACCAGTATTTTAATGATCATCTGAGAAGAATTTGAGTAGCCAAAGGGAGCTGAAACCTCCAACTGTGCTATGATCAGCATCAAAAAAAACCTTCTCAATAAACAGCTCCATCATTTCCAGTTGGAAAAAACAAGGGGTGAGATTTGTAGAGTGTGGCATCTAATGAAGGCACATTTACAACACATGCCAAAGACTAAGTTTATCTAGAAGTGACTATCGTGTAAGAGAGAACCCAGTTACAACAACTGGCAGGAGGAGACATCATTATGTCTTAATGTGGGAAAGCTCTCTCACTAGTGGAGTAAGCTCAGCTTCAGTTCTGTGTTTAGAGGGCTTTTCTTTTTCCTTTTTAAAACTTGTATTAAACTGCCTTGGCCATTCTCCAGCCAGGCCATTCACCAGACAGCTGGAATGTAAGGATGGGGCTCAGGTTTCTGTAGTACCACACCAACAGGAAGTTTTTTCTATGTGATTTTGCTATCAATGAATAACAGGTCATTTGAAGTGTTACTAATTTCGAAAACAAACCCTTTTGTCTTCACAAAAAATACATGAGAAAGGACAGTGTTGGTGTCAAGCAGTGTAGGGCTTAACACTGGAAGACTACAACTTCCTCTGCCTTGTCCATGTATTAAGGAAAATTCAAGGTCTGGGAAATGGGTCTTCCTCATTCTGAGAATCTCTGGCCATCATACTCCCACTTCCAGAGACTTTTACTGCTGGGAGCAGAGACCCTTCACAGAGGTGGCCGAAGTGCCCTGACAGCACCTGCAGGACCCTCCCATAACCCCCACTCTCTCAGTCAGACCAGGTTTCCCCACTGGTTCCACCCCAGCTTTCCCATGGCAGTCTCAGATGTTCCATTCCATAAAGAAGTTGGTTCACAGTGCAGTAACACAGAAACAGCCCCAGCTGGTGCCTCCCAGGAGGGACTCCCAACAAAGGAACCCCTTGGCTTTATCCCCTCACAGTCCAAGCGTGCCCCAGTCTCAAGCCTCAGCTCTTGCTCCAGAGCCCTTGCTCCTGCAGTGTCTCCCAATGTCCCTCCCTGGGCTGCATCACAGGCCCCTGAGCCCTTTATTGTGCTGAGTCCACAGTTCATGGCCTCTTATCTCTCTAGAATCCCCTCAGAGTTCAACCTGCAGCTCTGCTGCAGCTGCTCCTGAGCCACCTGCACCAGGTGTGTTCACAACCCTGCAGGGTTTCCTGGTGCCCAGGGGACATTGTGACACTGCAGGGCATCATGGAAACAAGGGAACTGTGTTGGGTGTTCATGGCCAGCTTTTGGTGGTGGAGGCAGGGGGCTACAGGAGTGGCTAATGTGAGAAGCTGCCAGAATCTTCTCCCACATCTGGTAGAGACAATGCCAGCCAGCTCCA